TATATATATATATAGAAATTATGTATTAGGCTGAAAACCCAGTTCTATTTTGATTCTAAGGAATACATTTAGAGCACAGTTATACGTTAAATAAGATTTTTTTGATGACAAACCTCAAACAAACAGTCGCTCCCATATCACGCAACATGCGGCGTAAGACATGTACCGCCTTCAATTTTACATCGACGTAAACTCTGACATCTGAAGCTGCTCGTTTAATTCACGGCCAAAGAAAATATTCAGTTTTGCAAAATTTTAGAAAGACATATATAAAATCCATAAAGCCACAAGAAAAATTTCATATGGTAATGTCAAATTATTGACAAATGCCAAAAACCTATTATAAAAGTCATGTTAAACTATAAAAATTGAATTAGGACACATACCTTCTAAAAATTTTGAATTTATTACAGGTGACTGATTTCTGATATTAACATCTCGAGTCCAATCAGAATGAAAAATATTTAGCTGAGTTTCTAGCCATATGTTATGTTCTGCGAAATCCGTAAACTTAGGTGACGAAAAGCTTTAATAAATCTAGTTTAATTTTGTTTAAATTAATTTGAATGAAATTCAATATAGCAATGCACAGTAAAATAACGAATAGATATTGTATTGAGAGTTTTTACAAAAGAATCTCACGAAAAGATAAAAAGTAGTATGAAATATGAAAAGTATGAAATCAAACCTTTCTGAACTCAAAGAGTGCCTGAAGAAATCTGGCGTTTCAATTTCAAAAGATGAAGAATCCCTGTCCGCAGAAGGTTTTTTCTTCCTCAATCTTCGACGCATTGTATGAACTCAAAATAAATCCTGAAATATTTAATATCTGCGTAAAAGCTTATTTCTATGATTAATCCTTTCCCATAGTTTCTATGATTAGTCTAGCCTATTCCGAAATAATTTTTAGCGAGAAATTATAAATAAATAAGTAATCACATCCCATAGTGCTCTCAACATTTCTTATAAGCCGCTAGAATAAGGAATTAAATTTGAAATACTCGTTTTACCGGTAACGACTCTAACTTCTTGTGGTCCGTTAAAATTTGTCGTACACGAAATAAAATTAAGTCATCTCAAAAAATTTAACGATGAAATGTCATGTTGATAGATGTGATTTGTATTTTTGAATTTAAAATATGAAGAGATGTTTCTGGTCACAATGAATTGGTGTTTAATGAACACTAATTTGACAAATTATTTCGTAGAATTTGCAAAAAAATTTTTGTTTGTTACTTTTATCAGACAGAAGACAATTTTTTTTGCCGGTTCACTTTGTATATTACACTTTCAATTAAAACTCCAATTATTGATTACTCGTCTTACTCTTTCGCGGTACTCAGTGATATCTCTCTAAGCTCATCGAGTAGTACGAGATTGAAAACTATGAATTTACGCGTTGTGGTTCATGTTTGTGGTGATGTGGTGAATTCTCTGACAATTTGATTTTGCTAAAGATGTAATTTAATACCAGATATTGGAATTGGAAATGAAAATACCTGGTTTAGACCAGTCTCTAAAGCTAAGATTGATGTTTACACTTTTTTACGCTTCACGTACGACCCCTCGCAGCTAATTTTTTCTTCACGTTACGCATTTCGCAGCTAATTACTACCTTTTTTATATTCACTTAAAAATACGCTTGACTCCTTGGCATTCTATTGTCAAATGTGCTAGTATATTGTGTTAAATACTTCAAAATTGAATGAATCAGAACTGAGTGAGATATTCGTTTAGTGATCTATCATCTCGTGATAAAGGCAATAGTTATAATTTGTGATCTGCGCAAATTAGGTCAATCATACCATAATTTTTGCAAATTAGATCAATTGAATAAGTTTGAAGAATTGAAGTTCTTAAATTATTTTTCGTGACTTCTATAAATTTCCTGTTGTATTCCTTCATTATACTAATTATTATACGTAGCATTCAATTGCAAAAAAATACTTAACATTTTGTAATAGACAAAATTTAAAAAAATATAAATTGAATAAATTTTATGCTAATTTCAACGAAAAAAACGATGCAATAAGCAAAATGTGAACAATTTATTGAAAAAAATCGTAGAAAATTTGTTATAACTTTTGTTGGGTAAGAAATGAATAGTCTTCGAGAGAGAGTTTGACTGATTAGTCTTGCTCGGATCAGTGACTGATCCGTTCTTTTAGATCAGTTTGATCGGCAAAAAAAAGCTCTGATTGATAATATCAAGCAAACAGATTCTTCTTCAAAATGTTTTCAGCACAATCTGCTAAAATTTTTGATATAATAGCTCAGTTTATGAGTATTTAATTATTTACTTTTTTATCTTTGTGTATAATTTGCGTAGCAAAATTTTTACAACAAAATAATGCCTTCCAATTCATCTTGCTCATTTACAACTAATTCCAATCGTTGAATGTTTAATTATATGACGAGAATTGAAAGTAAAGGTCAGGAAGTCCTCATTATTTTTACTTTTGTGACAAAGGTTAATTACAACGTTATGATAAATACTAAGATATAGAAGTCAAGGTTTAATTGAAATAAAGTCATCCGTTCTCAACTTTAGTCTCTATTTTAAGATTTCTGGTCTTTAATCGTCTTTGATCGTCTTTGATCTAAGGTTAAAGTTCATAGTCAAAAAATTTTTTGTATTATTTTACTCTATATGCGAATGAGATGTAATATTATTCTCTACATTTAATGTAATGCAAAGTTTAATTTCAGGAAGTAAAATGCTGTGGATGATCCGCTTCTTTTCTACTTCCATCGTATTTGTACAGCTTGCGTTAAGTTTTTCTTATCTTCATAAACTATAAATAAATCTATTACCCGCCAAAAAAAGCTTGAAATTTTACTAAATGTCTCATTTTATCTACAAAGGTATTTTCCATATAATATTTTTTATTGAAAAAAGTAATGAATGAGAAGTTTAGTAAAATTTGTTGAATGGAAAGCGCAAATTTTTGATCAAAGACGTGTTAATTAGTGTATCATTTTCAGGCATGTCTTAACATTGATTGATTGCTTCGTTGATCAGTTTGAACTTTTGTCATTATTTTTTTAGCAACAAATTTAGAGAGAAAGCTATGCTCAATTGATATATTTTTATCATTTGCTTGAAAAACAAAGCAAATAACTCTGATTTTCAGTTCTACAACAATTTAAAAAACATTCAAAATTTGATGCTATTTTAAAGTTGAAAATGATTGAATATGACAAATGAGAGAGAAGTATAAAAGTTTTTTGCTCAAGAAAAAAATTAGAATGTTGGTTATTTGTTTTCTTTTTTGGTTATTTTTATAACTTTAATTTTTTTAAATTATATTATTTATTATTATTAATATCAGATTAAAGGCTGTACCTTATGGATAATTTGTATTGATTGATTTAATTCATAAAATTTAAATTTGGCAAGTGATTCATTTTTTTAAATAAATTGTTTTTTTTGACTAAAGATTATAATGAGATAATTGATGGATTAATTGATTTTAGATCGGTCATTTTTGTCCCGGTGGAAAATCAGTATGTCCCGATACATCAACATGCTGCTTAGTTGCGGCAAAAGAATATGGTTGTTGTCCAATGCAAGATGCTGTCTGCTGTGAAGATCATACTCACTGCTGTCCCAATGGTACCAAATGTGATGTAGGAAGGAGACAATGCTTGAGAGTATTGCATTTCTCTTTAAATTTCGCTTTTCAGCTTCATTTATTTAATTGTTAAATTAGATCTATTAATTAATTGAATTAAAATTTACAGGATAATGGAGATTGGATAAAAATGCAATCAAAATTAAAAGTTGCAAAGTTGAATAAATGCTGGCAGTGTTCATTAAATTCAACTTGTTGTAAAATTGGTTTTAAAAATATTGCATATTGTCCATTAGCCCAAGCCGTGTCTTGCGCAGGCCATAAACATTGCTGTCCACAACATACAATTTGTGATCAAGCACTGAAAAGTTGTATTACAGAGGTTTGTGCACTTGATACGTACGCATAGCTAGTAATCACTCTTCGTTACTATTTGTACGAAACTTTTTTCCCAGAAAATTAATTTAGCTAAAATAATCTATCTATTTGATTATTTTAATTTTTACTTTAGTGGAAAAAGTAGCGTGGACTCTCCTAGTTTTCTTTTCAGTATCTAATTAACTTCTTTTTTTTTGCAGTGTAATTTTATACACTTTACAAATGAATTTTGTATGTAATTACTGTTAATCGCTTACTTAATGCTTGTGCTTGTGAAAGGTTCCCATATATTTTAATTTTTTACATATGTTTAAAAAACATATGTTTTTTATATTTAAATATATCCTATGCTTAATTCAAAGTTACAATTTAGAATCATCAGTACCACATATAAACTCTTTCAATCTTTCAATCTTATTGCCCAAATATATATACCTCTTAATGCTGAAAATTTGCACACCAAACAAAGTTTTTCGCACAATTCAAATGCCGCATTAAATGCAAATTTTCAGAGTGGTGCAGTGCTTCCTTGGATTAAACAGGAAGTCGCGCATCTCAGCAAGGCAGCTCGTCGAATAATGGATTTTAAAAAGGAGAAGTTTACTTCAAAAGTATTTACACCAAAGAATGACTCATACAACAATATTCATTCTTGGTGTGCTTGAAACTATTTTTGTCTAGCAACGACAAACACCACAATTTAGTTGAAAAAAACAAAGAAAATGTGGTTTGAGTCATATCTCTACTGCTTTGCGAGTTTTTTGTCTTTTTTCAGATTTCAATTTTACTTTTCAAAATTGAAAAATAAAACTTTCAGTTTTAGTGATATATTTTTTAAAAGAAAAGTAAGAAAGTATTAGTTGCTATTCTTTGATTGGCTAAAAAAATTTGCATATTTAGTCTAATAGATTAGCTTGCAGCTGTAAATCGCGATGCTGTCCACTAAGAAGTGCTGTTTGTTGTCCTACTAAAAATTATTGTTGCCCACAAGGTTACAGGTAATACTTTTTTATTGTGGTATTTAATATTTACATTATTTGGCAAAATATTTTTACAAGCATAAATGACCATATCCTCATATGATAATTTCTGTTATCAGAAGGCTCTATTTTTTTTACTTCAGTGGTAATTGATTGTAAGATTGTAAAATTTTTAGTTGTAAAGAAGAAGAAGAACGTTGTGTCACTGAAGAAGAAACAAATTTTAGTTTCGAATTTTGGACACGTACATTTATTTCATCAAACAAACGTACGTGTGCTTTGACATGTGACAACTTTTAATGCCTAGAATATCTAGTTGATCAAGTACTTTTTGTCGGACTTTGAGATCATGATATTTTCATTCAAGTTTTTATTTGTTTTCATTTTGAGAATGTGATTGCATTAAGAAGTGATACTTTTAGAGCCAGTCTTTGGTTATTTAGCCAATCCATAATGCATTGGTATTGACCTTTAAACCCGTATCATTGTGTTATTTTACTGTTTCCTTTGGTTCTTGACCATTATAACTTAGTAATGCTATCACTTATGACTTGTTCAGTATGGAAGTTTTTATTCCAAAATAATATTTAGTTGTGAACAGAGAGAAAAAAGAGCACAAGTTTTACGATTAAATTGCAACTTGATTCGTAAATGAATTGTTGTCGGAAAGTAAAGTTATACTTATTAAGAATTAAATTACGCTGAAAATAGCAATTTGCAATTACTGTTTTTATAAGAACAAATGTGAGCGCATTCGGAAAGCATCCATTTTGATAGTTTTTTTTTCTGCACAATTTTCACTTTACTTTACTAATATAACCTTCAAAAAATAGTTTGAGAAGAGCGCATTTGCTTCCGAAATAAACAATTACTAATTAAACCTTTGCTAAAACAAATTTAAAAATGTAAAAAATTGTGTTTGTTAAAAAGTGTAACAAAACTAAATTTATTGAATTTTGAAAAGGCAAATATAGCACATTCTAAGCATACACATCAAATGCTTTCTTATCAGCTCAAAAATATCTCAAACGTTGTATACGCCTAAAATTATGGCAATTTGCTTCAGCACAAAGATATTTCAAACGTTGTATACGTTTAAAATTATGATATACGCCTGAAATTATTTATGGCAATTTGCTTCAGCTCAAAAATATCTCAAACGTTGTATACGTTTAAAATTATGATATAATTTTAAGCCTGAGATTATGATAATTTGCTCTTCTCTTTATTTTTGCTTCACATTTTCTTTTAATTTTAGATTAAAAGTAAATAAATAAATAAATGAATAAATTGATTTTGTGAAGAATGAATGTAAGTAAGTAAGTAAGGGAAGGAGGAAAAATTTTTATACCAACGATCTGATCATTACTCCCGTCGAGACAGCAAAATTGTCCCAAATAATTAATTCTTTTGTTTTTTAGAAGCAAAAAACTATTCACAACCAAATAATTCTTTCTCACTTAGCGTTAATACACTCATTTCTATTAGTATTTTGCTGCTTTTGCTATGCGAAACTTAATTATATTGAAGTTATTTTCACTCAAATTTATCCATTTTATCAAAATAATTCATTTTTATTGCTACTATTATTGCTTTTTTAGTCTTTTTAGAATTGCAAAAATTTTGTCATTACTTTTGTTTGAATGTTTTTGCTATTAAAATGTTTGAATGCGCGAAAATATATCTCAAAAATTAATTAAAAAGTTATGCGCTTAATGGAATTACTTTTGAATTAACAAGTAAGTAATACAAATCAATGGATAACACTGTAAGTATTCAGAATCAAAAATTATGCATGCATAAGAAGAGTTTATTCAAAATATTCATTTAAAAAATGTGCTTACATTTTTGAAAATTATCATCAAATTTATTACAGTCGTGATAATTTATTTCTAAAATTCCTCGCAAAATTAAACGAATACTCTTTGCAAAATAATTGCAAAGATGTTAATTTTTGCAATGAATGAGAGGTATGTAAAAAGAATTATGGTTTGCAAAGTTAAAAGCTCCTCAATGCTAATTAATATCTCAAGCATAGGTTGGCAAGAGGTTGCAAACATATCTTGGATAATATTTGTGTGGATAAAATATTTCATGCAGTACTCATTACGGATAATATTCATCACGAAAGTGAGTTTGAAAATACGATAACTTACGGTATGATTATGATTATTAGAGATGCACATATACAACTAAGTTAAGAAGAAAATGAAGTGCGCAAAAATGCTATTAATGAAGGCAGAAGAAAGGGAAAAAAAGACGCAAAGCAATATGACCTTTAGCCCTACCTCAAGGTCATACTAAAGGTCAGGCAGTCATGTCTTCTACTCTTAATAATCGACACAAATCGTGCAAGTTGCAGTTAGTTATATGTGCTCTCTTTTCAGTCATCATTTATTTATCCAAGTGCACATTTTGCATTTGCTTTCTCAAAATATTCTCTCAATCTTTTTTTAAATTTATTTTCGTTCTAAATCTCACCTTTGACCTTTTTAACTTTTTTTTTGCAAAAAATGTTCAAGCGAAGCTTTTTTTCACAGCTGACAATTCATCGTTTGCCAAACATCCCATCAAATTCAGTGCTTAAGTTGAGGTGAAAATTCGTTGCTGAGTGCTGCAAAAGCTATTTAACTTCATCTCTCTTCCAACTTTTGAATTTAAGACTAGCATCAGTCAGAAAATAAATACTGAATGCTCTCAGATTTATGACTGAAATGGCATGCAAACTTTTGTCCAACAGTTCTTTTTTTTCAAAAAACACCAAAAATTATCATTGCTTCCATGTATTTGTTAGCAGTATTAACTTACTATTTGACCTTTGACCTGATTGATTAAACTTTATAATTTATTACTTTTATATCTTTGAATTCTCTTTGCACACTGCAAACAGACAGACTTCCATCCATCCATTTATTCATCCATTCATTCATCTACTATCTATACACATCGAAATTCCTTTTGTCATCATCAGTCATCTTGCAAGATTTTTTCTGATTCAACAACTCAGTTCAACTCATTTCAGCTCAGCTCATCTCACAGCCTAGCTCATTTCATCTCATCACAACTCACCTAGTTCAACTCGCATCAATTAAGTTCACTTCAAATCTGCTCACTTATCCTCCGCAGAGATTTGATTCTTTCCAAGCCAAATGCATTCAAATTTTTGCATTGATCAGTAAATCGATTTGCCTATTTAATCAATGTGATCATTAATTTTGCAGTTAATCAGCAAGAAATTTTATTAAAATTAATTACGTTGTAATTTTTGAACTTTTGAATTATTATCTCTGAAAAATATTTACTTTTATTTGCAAATTACTCCTTTAAATCAATTTATGCAGTCGTAATTTGTCACGTTCGTTCTCTCGTCTCTTCACTGACAACGTCAAAAATTATTGCTTTCATATATTTTATATAATTATTAATTATTTAAAAATATGCACATTTTACTGCTTAAATATTATTACTAATACAATGTTCACTTTCTGATGAAAGCTTGGATTTGCTTTGTTAGCAATAGCCAGCTCTTTGCTTTGCTTTTAGCTCGTCTATCTATATCTATCCTATTTCTATTCTTTTTCTCTTATTGCATAATTTATCCTGAAATATTTATTTATTTATTTATTTTCCTTAAATATCTTTACTCAGTTGGGTCTAGATTAGACTGAACTAATCATCTAAATTCAAATCACAATTTATTTATACCCATTTGATCATTCACTATTCAGTATTGCTAATAATTTGCTGCTTAACGTTTATTTCTATTTGATCATTTTATTACTATTAAGCAGTTTAGATTTATTTCCTTCTCACTGATAGTTTAAAAGTTTTATTAGATATTTTATTTCAACAATTTCCAGCAAATCTAAATTTCACATTTTTAATTGTCTAATATTATTACAATAACCAAAAAACAACTACTACTAATTTAAATACATTCAAAATTAAAATTTTTTAAAATCATTCAGCTTATTTTGTGTATTTGTTGAAATTAGCATAATTGTAAAATATTATTTTTACATCATTGATATCATTCGTTCATTCCATAAAAATGAGTTGATTTTAGATTAAAAAGTTTGTTTCTAGGCTTATTTTTGTTTATGAAAGCATATTTTTGAATTAGATTACATAAATAACAATGTTAAAATTAGCATAATTTTATAATTATGCTAATTTGGACAAACACATAAAACAAACTGAATAATTTTATAAAATTTTAATTTTGAGTATATTTGAATTAGTAATTGTTTTTTTGCAAATGGCAAAAATCTCGCAAATAAGTTAAAAGTATGAAAAATAATGACTCTTTCACTGATAGAATTTTGCATAATTTTTGTAAATTTTTATGCACTTATCAACATTTGACTTTCATTTTTAGTCCAATAAAAAGTTACGCAAAAAAAGTAAAGTCAAAATTTTGGCATAACTTTTGTTTCTGAAATGACAGACGCAATTTTTAAAATAGATGGATATTCTGTTGTGCCACAAGAAAATATGTTTAAAATATTTGCAAAGTTTCCACTTTTACTTTTTTTTAAATTTTTTAGTTTTTTCGTTTCTGCGATTTGAATTTTTCATTTTGCTAAGCTTAATTGTTTAGATTAAGAAAGTAAAAAGTATTTGTGAAAATGAGCGCAAATATGAAAATTAGCTCTTAAGCAGGCAGAAGTAAGCCAAGTATTTCTCTATACATTTCAGTAGCTAAAGCTGCTATACTTAGTCTTTTGACCTTCACGGATAGCGCAATTAAAATATGACAAGAAATGTTCTTGCAAGCATTATTGTAATTTTGGAAAACATTGTCTGTCAAGCATTCTTTTCGCATTTTACGGCAGAAGTTTAAATCGCAAGCCAAAAGTTAACGTTTAAATTGTTATACTTTAAAAAAGAATTATTGTTGTAGTCTACGTATATTGAATAGAGGTCAAGTTAAAAGTCCATTTAATTTCATTTATAATTATAAATGATTTAATAGAATGAAAACGTGTACTTTCACTTTCTAAAAATTAACCATGTCAAAGTATATATTATCAAAATAGGTCCTATTTCAACTCTTAATCAAAAAGCGCTAATGACTGCATTAAAGTTCAAAGTTCATTCAAAAATCATTTTATTTTCAGTTGTGTTATCAGAATTATGTGAGATAATAGCAATTACTGAACAAACTGTAAATCTTACAAATAAGTTGACGTACAAAGACAATATCAGAGCAAACTGAGTAGATTGCTAATTAAGCACAAATGAGTACTACTGCTTTTTCATTTTCTTACATTTTCAACTTCCTGATAATATTTGTAATCCGCGCTACAACGCAGTCAGACGTGTCGCATGCGTCAACGACGTGGTCCAAATCAGTTGGCTCAGGTAAACATGTCTGCCTTAAAGATACTTGCATATCTTTAGATAGTTGTGTACCTTTAGATATACAAGTATCTTTACTTGCTCATTTTAATAATTTTTTGTTAAAAATTTTATTTTAAATTTAATTCATTCAGCAAATTGCGGCATAGGACAGCGAGCTTGTAGTAATGGGCAATGTATTCCTGCCAAGTATTTCTGCGATGGTGATTTCGATTGCGATGACCGTTCTGACGAGTCAGCCGAATGTCGTAAGTAATATGAATCCTAATTGATTAATTAATTAATTAATTAATTAAACTGGGAAAGTTAACTATGTAAAAAAAAGCTTGAAATTTATGTTGTAAATGATTATATGCTACAAATTAAGCACTATTACGAAGTAAGCATTTGACAGTGAAAAATTTTTAATTTTAATGAGAAATAAAAAAATAACTGAAAATATTTTGACAGATAAATTGGCACGAAAAAGCTTTACAGCCAAGGTAAAGTCTTGTGCTGAAGGTCAAATGATGTGTGCGTTAACACGAAGATGTCTACCTATACGCTACAGATGTGATCTCGAATATGACTGTGGCGTGAACGAACTTGGCGTGTTAGATACTAGCGACGAGGATCCTCTCATATGTATGCTTAATTTTTGCATATGCTAATTACTTTTAATTTGTTAAAAGATAAAACATTTATAAATTGAACGAAAAGTACTCTAAAACTACTAAAACACTGTAGAATTACTCTAAGACTTATTCATTTTCATTTGAATAAATTTTGTACAAATAAAATAAATTAATTTCTATCGAAGATTGCGATTCATCTGAGTTAATATAATAAATACTGCAAAAATTTGAAAATATAATATTGCTGAACTACTCTTTTACAATACATTTGCATATTTATTATTTAGTGAAAAATTGGAAAAAAAGCATATTTAAATTAGATGATATGTTTTTATTTACATTGTTAATACAGTATCATATATTTAAATTAGGTAAAATGCTTTTAATTACACTTAAAACACAATATTATACTGTATTGTGTTAATGCCACCATTAGTAGTGATAAAATGGCATAAGTTTGAAAACAAATGTGTTAAATAATGATTATATTTCATTTATGTAAATTAATTAATTGTTAGTAATAAATGTTTATATAATTTGTATTCTTTGAGGTTTATAATTCATCTTGTTATCATACTGTAAAATTGTTATTGAATGATCCAAAGAACTTTAATTTTCATACAATTTAAGTGGTTTTATTTTTAATTTTTACTGCAGAAACTGTAAATTATATGTAATTCGATGTAAATAATATTAACTTACAAATATGCAAATGTGTAGTATGCAAATCTTTTCATTAGTGCTAATTTTCGCATATTTAAAATCACTTTTGTATTCCAAAATTTGCAAACAAAATTACTTGTCTCAAAGCTTTTGCATGAATTGCACATATTTATGCAAATAAAAAGTTAAGTTTTAGGTAATTTAACAAAAGTTTGTCGTTCCAATGAGCATCACTGTGTCACAGGTCAACAATGCATACATTTGTCCAAATTTTGTGATGGCCACAAAGATTGTGCTGATGGCTCTGATGAACACTCACTATGTGGTTAGTATTATTTTTATCTTTGCTCAATTTTTTTACTTCGATTTTAAAAAATTAAAAGATTTAAACTTTTAAAAAATTTGAATTTTATAAGTCGTCTTAAAATGAGAATCATATATCACAGACGATTTTTGAAATATTTTTAGTTCATATATTTTATGTGTAAAAATTTAGGATCTATTATCTCAACAAAAGAGGTAAAATGCAAATATGGTGGATCTTTGACTATCGACAAAGGATTGCAGTGTTACTGTCCTGATGGACAAGCTTTACGTGGGTCACAGTGTCAAGATGAAGATGAATGCTTGATTGCTAGACAAGGTTTTTTCCAGTTTAAATTGTCTGCTAAATTAATCATTCATTCATTATACCTTTACTTACTCGTTACGATCAGTTATACAAAGTTAAAAAAATGTGATTTAACGATTGCTTGAAGTAGTCAAAACACATATTTTAACAATATCCATTGATGTAAAATTTAATACCTGAACCTGAATCTCATTTAGGTTCACTACCTGTCTGTTCACAGCGATGTGTCAATTTAGTAGCAGAAAAACCAGGAGATCGTGGATATCGATGTGAGTGTACACAAGGCTTCGAGCTTATCAATGATACGTGGTGTAAAGTTATCGTCAATGGTACCTACGCATTTTAATAAATTTATCAATACTTATTTAATTACGGATCAGTAATTCAAGACAAAATTGTTGAATCTTCTCTTCTTATCACTAATTTTTTATGCATGAAAAAAATATCATTATTTTGTTTCATTATTTCAGTTTTCATATTCAATGTATGATTTTCAAATTTGCTTTCTTCATATTACTTAAATTCTGTATTTTTACTTATGAACATATATCAGAACATGCATATTAAATTTCAGAATCGATGCCTGATGAACCGTCATTGGTAATCTATGGTTCACTGAAGCTGATTCTTAAGAATATAAATGAGCTCAATAAAGATTCTAGCAGCGTTCTGCGGGTTCCTGAGATTCAAGCAATGGCAATTGATCAGCACAAAAAACGAGTTTGCTGGGTGATCAGCTTAATTAGTTTAAAATTTTATTCTAATAATAAGTCTATTACTTCATACAAAGTGAAGGGTTGTTATGAATTTTAATTTTCACGTAATTCTTCTTGACAATATTCTTTATTTTAAAAATGTTGCACTAAATTAGTGAAATTTCTTTCTGCATTATGGCTTCAAGCATTGTTTAAATTATTCTCAAGTTTTAGGTGCCAGCTCGCGTGAGTAACACGCCAGCTAGTCACGTTTCATGCATCCAAGTTGGCCCTGAAGGTTTTGAAGGAACAATTTCAAAAATTTATGTTAATTTTGCTATGGAAGGTAAGACAAATTTTGTTCTTTTTTAAAATTGATATTTTGCTTTTATTTTATTTATTCGCTTTATAGATAAGTTGTGATTTGATCAAACTTTAAATTAAATTATTGTCTACAAAAACTGGGCGAAAAATTTTCTCATAACAGATTAATCCAATTTTTTATTTATTAATAACGTGAATGTATGACGTAAAAAGTGATCGTGTCGTGTCGTGTCGTGTCATTGATTTGCTATTGATCACAAAATTGAAGTCCTTCACTTAAAATTAATTAATATTGTATTCAATATTTGCAGTATACAGATTTTCACGTGTGATACTTACTTAAATATTTTAGGCGTAAATACAATGAGTTTTGATTGGATCGGACAAAATTGGTACATGGCGGATGATTTGTATTCTCGAATATTTGCTTGCGTGTCTGATTTCTCCCATTGTATTATTCTTTCCGCTGGTAAAATCGAAAAGCCATCAGCCATTGTTATTGACTCTCTTGCTGGGTTAGCTTATATTATTATTATAATTATAATCATTATTTTTATCATTGTAATAATAATAATTATTATTAATTTGGATTAGTAATTTTAATAACTGAGTAATAATTAGCAAGAATTCCAATGATCGATAATAGCAGCTAATTTTATTAGTAACTTAATATAGTGCAGTTTTTATATTATCATTTTTACTTCATAATTTTAAATAATATTCAATCGTTGTCATCTATCACTGAGTTATATTTACTGTTACTTTTTCGACACCTTTTTAAATTGTAAACTATCAAAAATAACTATCCAAAATCAAATAATACCAGTGATATACGTTTGTTAATTTCTATTTAGCTATGCTTTTATTACTGATTGGGGTACGGAAACAGGTGGATTATGGCGCTTGACCTTAGATGGTGCAAGTTTGGTTTTGCTCGTGAACAGTGGCATTATTCATCCTTTAGGTTAATTTTTGCATTTTCGAAATTCACTTTATTTTAATACTTCATTTTAAACCATTTTTACAACTTGTTGGCTAATTTTTATGAACGAAAAGTTGAAATTTAATTAAATTACTTTCAAAATTATATACTAATTATTTTTATCGTTTATATTACGCATGTACACATTTACGTAAGTAATTTTCAGCACTAGCTGTTGACATTTTTACACGCACAGTTTACTGGGCAGATCGATATTTAGAAGTTTTAAATTCCATTGATTACGATAAAAATTACCGTAGACGAGAAGTAGCAACCGGTAAAACGGTAACATTTTGAAAAAGTGTTGCATAGATTCAAAAATTTAAACTTTCGCTGATCGAAAAATAAGATTTTTGCAGTGCTAAAAAATTGCTCATCGATTTATAGCTTATTTTTGCTTGTTTATATTTGAAAATTCAGTCTGATATAGACTGCAGTTGAAAGTTCAGATTTGTTTTTCACTGTCTCATTGTTTCCTCCTCAGAGTTTTAATATTAAACCAATTTTTTCATAGGCAAAAAGTATAGTTGACATATTTCACTTTGAACGGTCACTGTATGCAGCAAGTGGATTGTCCATTGCAAAGTTTGATGTGCTGAGTGAAAGTAATCAGAAACCTGACGTTTACGTGGAAAGTGGCATTTTGAAGAAATTGGAAATGATTGCTTTGTTACACAAACAGGCCCAACCAATAGGTTTTTGTATTACTTAATCTTGTTCATTTTCGAAAACACACTAGTCATAAATAATTTATTCATTAGTAATATGTAATAACACATTTTAAGATAAATACTGTAGAATTGAAACGTGCATTAAAAAGGAATACATTAGCCGACTTCGTCTTCTGAAACCAATTATAGTTTACTCTTAGTATTGGCTTATAATTGATAAAGATACAGTAATAATTGAAGAACAAACTACCATAAATTATGGAAAATGTTTCTAAAAAATGAATACTTTCTAGGAAATCATCCTTGTATGCATAATAATGGTAACTGTGATCATATCTGTCTTGTTGCATACTTGGATTACAGTTTATGGGAAAATCAAAATCTAAGTAATGGCATTGCAAAGTGTGCATGTGCTGAAGGATATCGATTGATTAATAATCATCAATGTGTCGAGAATACTCGGGAGTTCGTTTATCCCAACACAATATCTCATTCTTTGCAGAAAATTTATGAAATAATTTTTACAATTTTTATCAAAGATAATATGACAACCAAAAATATTATAAGATGAATTAATTGTAAGCATATATTTTCGCTTCACTTTATTTTCTGGATATTAAATCTTGAAAATGAAGTGAAACGAAAATATATATTTGCAGTTCACTTTGTTTTAATTAAGTAATAATTGTTAATTAATTAATGTATTATTGCAGCTCTGATCCGATATTAATTTTTGCGCGAACTAGACCAGGCAGTATTGCTGCTTTGAGTTTATTAACAATTATTGCAAATGATACTTTATCTGTAGAGCATTTGGGAACAACACAAAATACATATGCAATTCCTGATGGTTAATTTTTATTTATTCAAATTAATTATTGAATTTCAAACATTTAATTTAATAATTGTGTGCGTGAAAGACGAATTTATTTTTTAAAATATGCAAAATTTTTTAGGGATGCAACCAGTTACACATCTCCGTCGTCCTACTGCAATCACTATTGATACACGGAGCAAAGTATTTTATTTTAGTGATGCTCGTAATTATACAATTAAGAAGCGTGAAGTACACGGAGAAATAGTAAAAGAAGTGATTGATCATGGTACCGTCTTTACAATACAGATTATCATTGAATTAATGCTCTTAATTTCAATTTTTAGCAGCACTGTGTAGGCTATATGAATAAAAACAGAAATAGCAGATATAAAATAATTAATAAAAGCAATAACATCTTTCCAAAAATATACAAATAAATTTACTTCTGAGCGTTATGCTCTCAAACGTAAAAACGATCAAAACAGTTACAGTAAGGAAATAATTGCGAATATATTGGAACAAATCTGTAAATGTACTGTCATAAGAAATTTTGTGACTAGTTGAGAAAATGTTTGATATCAAAAATGGCATCCAAATATCAGTTCAAAAATTTATGATGATAAGTGATGTAGACAACTTGTTATAGCATTAGCATATTAAAAGTGTCTTTGAAAAATAAGATTTTACGTAAGTGATCATTAACGTGAGTTAACACGCTCAACTCTAATGCTCATTGTATACTTCTAAATTACTTTGAAAAAAACTATTCTAAATGAGGCCTACTCTTTGTTGTTTTTCATAGGCTGGGTATGGTGTGATATTAAGCAAAGGTTAAGTGCTTTATGAAAAGATTTATGACATTAGCCTAGCGTTAAAATTGGCAGTAATGTTTTAGACCGTAAAAAGTGCTGAAATTTGGATTATAAATTTATTTTCAGTTGTGATATTTGAATGCACATTACGTGGTCTAATTGAGATGAAAATTTCAGATAAGTATAAAAGTAATAAAAAGAAATATAAATTGATTAAATATTAATATTAATATTATTATATCTATTCCAAAAGTACTAAAAAGTGAAAATTACTTTTACATCATTAGAAAAATGATATTACAGAACTGAGTAACTGCGAAGGATTGGCAATAGATTGGACTGCTGGCAATTTATATCTATCAGATCAAGGCCTACTGCACATTGCTGTGCTTAAAGTTGCTCAGCCAAAGTTAAGGAAAGTAATCATAGAAGGAAACTTGTCAAACCCTCGTGCCATTGTAGTTCATCCAGCCAAAGGGTTCACATTTAATATCTAATTTCTTTCAAAGCATATTTATGTCTTGCTTGATTTGATTTGATTTGATTTGATTTGATTTGATTTGATTTGATTTCATTTCATTTCATTTCATTTCATTTCATTTCATTTCATTTGATTTGGTTTGATTTGATTTGATTTGATTTGATTCAAAAATACAAAAACTATTGAAGTACAATTTGTAATGTTTTAGTACTGATATGTGTTAGAAAGAAAGCATTATGTAGCATTTCTTTTTAATGAAAATCACAAAATTAGCTGAAATATATATTTTTTGAATCAAAATTTAGATATATATTTTTTGCTGATTGGATTGATTCTTCTACGATTACTACAACTATTACTAAAGCAAAAATTGAACGATCTAAAATGGATGGAAGTGAACGTAAAGTATTGATCAATCGCGCAATTCATTGGCCAAATGGATTAAGCATTGATTATGCAAACGATTGGCTGTACTGGTGTGATGCTTTTCATGATAAAATTGAAAGAATTCGATTTAATGGTGCTGATCGTCAGGTAATTATTTTGTATATATATTTTACTATTATCTTAATAAATATTATTTATTCGCATTAAAAAAAAAAACCAAATTCTTAGTTAAAATTATTACAAATTTTTTATTTGTAAACAAATTTCTCTGTAAAATATTTTTTATAATAAATTATAATTAATTCAGATTATATTAGATCCATCTGCGAAATTGTGTGTTTCATTTTGAATTAATTAATTCTGTAATTATATCATTTAATGAATAATTTACAGATAATTTTGAAAGGTGAATCATTAGATCATCCGTATGGTTTGGCTGTATATAAATCATTTATATTTTGGAGCGAATTTCTAGAATCTAAAATAATTGGTATAAATTTGGATGAAAATGGGGTTTTACGAAGCAAGCCAGTTACTGTTTATACTGATTACTCACCACTTTCTGAACTTCACGTTTATGATTCATCTGCAGAATTACGTAAGTTTCGCTATAAATTAATTCTGCAGTAATATCAATTCTCTGATAATATCATTTAATATTGTAATTGCAAATTTATTCATTCTTTTTGAGCGAAAAATTTTGCTTTCATTAGTTTAATTTTAGAAAAGCAATTACAAATAACATTTTTGTTTATGAATAAAAGTTTAATTATGCAAATTTTCAGCTACATCGCCATGTGCTCAAGAAAATGGTGGTTGTGAGCAATTTTGCTTTCCGACAGGATGTAAAAAATCATCCATTGATTGTCCGCTTGTTCAATGCGCATGTGCAGATGCTTACTATGCTAATCCTAAGAATCCTAAATTATGCATTGGTATGTAAAACCTTCATGACTGCTAGTTCATGTAAATTTTTAGGTCATAATTTAGCTAGGAATTATTTTGTTAGAATAATTCTCCCCTTTTTTCCTTGTTTATATTTAAATTTTAATTACAATTACGGGAAAAGTTTGCCAATAAAAAATATTACTTGCAGCAAAAGAGCGTACACATAATACTTCTCACTGTGGTCTTGTTGAATTTGAATGTAGACGTAATAAAAAGTGCATTTCACTTACGTATCTCTGCGATGGGGATGATGATTGTGGAGATGGTACAGATGAAGGCATTGAAACATGTGGTAAAAAATTTATTATTCAAAAAAAGTTATATCAATAGAAAATGAATCAAAAATTCATTATTTTTGTCAGCTTTTCCGTTTAATTACGATTGTTAGCTAATTTCTGAAATAAAAACAAATCGGCTGATCAAAATTTACACACTGTTTAAATTTAATGAGAAAAGGAAGTACCGTATTAAAAATAAATGGTAACTAATATCTTACGTTACTAATTTTGCATTCTAATTTTTGCTTTTTGTAAAGTCAGAAAGTAAAAATATATATCAACTTTGTAATCTTAATCTTAATCATTATCATATTTAGCATCAATTTTTAGCTGATTTCAAGTGTGCAAGTGCAGATCACTTCAAATGTCATTCGAATCAATGTATCGATAAAAATTGGGTTTGCGACGGAGAAGCTGATTGCGTCGCAGGCGATGATGAGGATGAAGTACAATGCAAAGGTTTTTCTGAAATGATGTTATTATGTAAATGATATTTATATCTGATTCTGATCCATGGAAGGTTTCAGATAAGCCATCTTGTAATAGTAGAAACAAGTTTATGTGTAAGAAGTCCAAGCAGTGCATACCACTGAGTGCTCTGTGTGATGGCGAATACGACTGTGGTGCGGAAGATGACCATTCCGATGAAGAAGAATGTGGTTTGCGTTTTTTAAAACCTATATCATGTCAATTATTTTACGCAATTTTGCATAACTCTGAATTCAGTTTTTTGTGAATTTCTATCAAGAGTAATTTGTTTTCATTGTTTTCTTGCAACTTCTAGGTAAAGATGGAAATGACAGTTGTGAAGTTGGACATTTTCAATGTTTTAATGGAAAATGTATTCCTTGGAGCTATGTCTGCGATGGTACGGATGATTGCAGGGATGGTTCTGATGAGCATAATTGCCATCAGGTTCATTTTTTACTTCATATTTGGGCAAGAAATAATAATACACTAATTATATCATTTTCGATTGAAATTTGCATACTATATAAATTTTCAGCTCAGAAACTGATAGTTCAAATCAGCTAAATATATATAGTTTTTATAATATCGGATATTTAAGCTAACCTATTTGACGCGTTCAATAAATTAAAGAGTCTGTAGGGATGCTTACCGGGAATTCAGTTTCGATGTGCTGATGGTTTACCTTGTCTAAGTTCCGAATTAATTTGTGATGGCACAGCTGACTGTAAAGATGGCCGTGACGAAAGTAGAGAAATATGTCGTATGTTTTATTGTACTCAATCAGTTTCGATTATTAAAAATAGTTATCTTGTCTACTCATTCATTGTGCTCAAGAAAAATTGAAAGATTAAAAAAAGTAAAATTAAGTCTGCTCTGAATACATATTACATTATAAAGAAAAAATAAATAAAAAAATAATTTTGGCTACTTCATTTTTAACTAGATTAGCTTAGGGGACTGAGCTTCATTCTGCTTTCATTATAATGTTTAAGATTATCTAACAGTAAATAGTGTAATATATATATAATGATTTCCGTGTTTGTTAATACATGGATATAATAAATAGCGCTAGCAAGAAAATATGCACTTAAATGCAATAGCAATTAGTATTTATTCAATTACTTAGAAATTCTGATATAGTTTGGAGCAAAAACTTAGTTTTGATTTAATTTAGCTCACACATCAAGAAACCATTTTTGTTCAACTTTTAATCAGTTCAAATGTGCCACTTCCAACCAGTGTATCAGAATGAGTTTCCGTTGTGATGGCGAAAAAGATTGCATCGATGGTTCAGATGAATTCAGTTGTCGTAAGTTTTTCTTTTCTGTTCCAATGAATTAAACTTTTCGATAATGGATGAGTTTTATCCTCGCATAAATCCAGTCATATGACTTCAAACAGTATTTTCAATAAAAAGTTTACCGGAATGCTGCATGTACGATATAAAAATAGTATAGATGTCAACGAAAAGTAATAGTGAGAGTTTGTTTTACTTAAGTAAATAAACAAACGGAATTTATTATTTTTATATGCACAGTAATAATAAATCATGGTAAAATTACTTACATATATTGTAGTGTAAGCCAAGTAATTTGTGAAAGTTACTAGCTTGCTTTGAACTCAATCACCAATACGTGAAGCCTTTTAAACGATTATTTTTCTATTTGCATGTTTGAAACGTGAAGATTAATAATTTATCAGTGCTGGATTAATGTAATATTGAAGTAATCCTCTTTTTAAATCATTGAATTAATATAAAATTTCAGAAAAATAGTTCATTTATGGAAGTTACTCATGGTAATTTCTGAAATTAACTCATTACATCGCAAAATTTCAGCAAATATTACATGCAAAAAATCTACTGAGTATCAGTGTGTCGATTCACATAAATGTATTCCAATAAGATTTCGATGTGACGGCTATTACGACTGTGATGATGGATCCGACGAGCAAAATTGCTGTAAGTTTGTGTTCCTTTTTTGTAAATTACACGATAAATTTGCAAAAGTTACTTGAAACAATTGATACAACTTATAGAGAATAGTAACAATTTTGTTTGCTTCACTCAGTATACTTTCAAATTTACTCATTTTTTGGTGTCCATTTAGCATCAAAAGGAATGAGAAAAGCTGATCGCTGCATCTCGCCATTATTTCTGTGCTCAGATGATCCACGTAATACGTGTTTACCACCTGATGCTGTTTGTGATGGAAGTGTTGATTGTCCAATGGGTGACGATGAGGGCTTCCTTTGTGCTGCAAAGTAAATGTTTTTTTTCATTTCAGCAAAACTGTTTGGTATCTGATTCTTGTTTGATATTTGACTTATAGAATGTGTGCTGAATCCACGTGTGATCACATTTGTCATGAACGTCCAAGTGGTTATGTTTGCTCATGTAAGCCAGGTTACAGTCTCCATGAAGATGGCCACACATGCATTAGTAAATTTCACGTATTTCAAATTGTAATTTTAAATTAGAGATTTTACATATTTTGAATGTTTTTATATTCATCAAAATAATAAGTTTATTTATTTAATACATGTAAAACTAATTTGTTTTCAAATTTAAAAATATACAAATCTTAACTTTCTATATGAATCTGATTAATTTACGCTTTAGTTATCAATGATGTAAAAAAAGATACAAAAATCTACATACAACATTGAATATTGAAGTTATTAAAATGTAGCATATTTACTTTTTTTTTAAATTAATGACTATTGTTTTTTTAATTTCTCACAGAAGAGCAACCTTGTTCATTTGGAGCTTGTAGTCAACTTTGCTGGCCACAGGGTAGTAGCAGTTATTGTCACTGTGAGGATGGTTTTGAGTTATTACCTGACAAATTTACCTGCAAGAGTATTGGTAAGTCAATCATTCTTTATGATATTATTGTAGTAACAACTGTAGAATTTATATATTTTTAAACCTAAACTTTTAGGAAAAAATTAAAATTTATTTTCATGAGTGAGAAATTAGAGAAAGCAGCTTTATAGATCCAGAAGTTCCGAGACTAATCTTCACAAACAGGCATGAAATTCGTATTATGAATCTGAGAACCAATGATGACTCCTCATCTCCATTAGTTTCACATCTTCGCAATTGCATTGCAATCGACTATTACTATGAAAAAAACAATGAATTATGGTTGTTTTGGACTGATATTGCTGCGGACATCATTTACAAAGGATTATTGAAAGGCCAAAGTTCACTTTTATTGCTTGACCACTTCTTGTGTTCAAACAAATATTGAAATTGATTTTTAAATAAATCTAGAAAAACTCAAAAAAATGTAATATATATTTTGTGTGGAAAAAATTAGTTACGTGATGTGGGCAAAATCATTTTTTAGTGATTTTAAATTGAACTTATTTTTGTTTACTCAGTTCTTTTTTTTTAAGTTTCAGCTTATATTTTTTATTTTTGTAAAAGACTCAAAAATTTAAAGTTTTCAATAGCTAGTTAATGAAATAACCTTATTATCAGTGTATAAATTTAAAAAATCAGCAATTTTTTCAGCACTAACAAATATCAAACCAATCATAACGTATGGAATTTGGACAGCTGAAGGTATCGCAGTTGATTGGCTAAGCAAGAAAATATATTGGGTAGACAGTTGGCTTGATCAAATCGAGGTTAGATCCAAAACTTCAAACTAATTGCAAGGATTAATTTTAATGGACATTAAATTAAAACTTTTCTAGGTTTCAAACTTTGATGGCACAATGCGTACTACCATTTTACGCGATAATATGAAAAATCTTCGTGCATTAACTCTTGATCCGAGGTATGTTTCTTTCGCCTATTCAATAATAAAACTTTTTGTATATCTGATAATGATATGTAAGCAAGAAATCTTAAAGTTTGCATGGCTTTTATAATTGTTATGCAAATTTAGCAAAGGTTTATTATTTTGGACTGATTGGGATCAATCAAACCCACGCATTGAACGAGCTACATTGGCTGGTAATGATCGTCAAGTTTTATTTGAAGTACTTGAAATTGTCAACGGTGGATGGCCAAATGGTCTCACTTGTGATTTTTTTGCTGAACGAATTTACTGGATTGATGCTAAGTCAGTTGTCTAGAATTTTTACTGGTAAATATATAAATTTTATTTTTACATCTCTGGAAATATACACAAAATATTTCTTACTTGTATTAACAGTGGGTAAATACTGTATATCTAATATGATGGAAAAAATATCATCAAGTTAATCAAATGTTTTCATTATGGTCAGTTTGTATCATGTGTTTCTTCAACAATAATTATCCAGTTCTTAACTTTTGATCTTGCGAGGATTTTTTTATTTTTTATAATGAAGCTAGCTGTTATTAGTTTAGATCAGATAGTATCCACACTATAACATATAATGGGGCTGATCATCGTGAAATTCTTCGTGATATTATTCATTTAGCACATCCTTTTGCCATTACAGTTTTTGGAAATTATGTGTATTGGACAGACTGGCATGCAACGGCTATTATTCGGGTATAATATTTCGTAAATAAATCATTTCAATAATTTAAAAAGAAAAAACGATTAATTTTATCAAATTACAAATTATTAAAGTTATTTTAGCTTATCTATTTTAGGCAAATAAATGGAATGGTAGTGATGTACGTGTTATTGAAGGAACTTCAATTCAACTTTTTGACTTAAAAATTATTCACAGGTTACTCTTTGTTGATAATAAGGATTTCTGTTACAAATCTGCAGTAATCATACATTTTACTCGTCGATTTTTTTGAATAAAAAAGTTAAACAAAATTGTTTTCAATGTTGCTATTCAATGCAGAAAAATCTAATTATTTACAGTAACTTGATTATTTACTTATTGGGGCGTCATAAAAGGTTTATAACTCATCAAAGGCTTGTTACGATTTATAGCATAATTATGAACAAGTTTGGGTATTATTTGTCTTATCAGGTCACGTCAGCCGCGTGGGCTTAAGAATCCATGTGGAGAAAATAACGGTGGTTGCTCTCATATTTGTTTGATCGACTCATCGTCTTCTCGAATATGTGCTTGTCCGCATATGATGCTACTCAATAACGATTCTCGAAGTTGTTCCAGTTAGTTTTCAACAACAAATGATTTTGATTTGATTAAATATTACTATCATATTTCTTGGCTTTTAATTTAATAACGATTTTTTTTTCGTTCTTTCTTAATTTTGGTTAGCATATCCGTTTCCTAAATAAAATTAAAAAAATTTTTAAAAACCAAAAAAGCTGGTTAGGGCTGAAATCAATTCATTTCCCCAAAGTTTCTGAAAATGCATCTTATGAATAAATACACTCAAATTTAAGATGTAAATACTGCATTGATCATTGCTACAAGTACTTCAATTCGAATATTTGATACGGTACAAAATGATGCTGTATTATTCCCGATAATATCCGGGAAAGATGTAACAAATGTAAAAGTCATCGCTATTGACTACAAAAATACAGCAGTTTTCTGGTACGATGAAAATAAGAATGATATTAAGAAAGTGTTTTTCAGTGAAGCAGAGAAAAAACAAATCATACTTCAAAAAGGTTCTTTTTAGTAATAAGTTATCATTGTACAGCTTAGAAAATATGTAACATCGATGTTCTTATCCTTAATTAGCTCATATTATTAAAATAATCCGTATTAATTAAGTATACGATCTTTTATATACATAAAATTTAGATTTATACACATTGAATAAAAAATTAATATTAAAAAAAATTAATATAAATTAACAATGAAATTCTTTCAGAATTGCATTATTAACTTATATTCTTATCGTAAAAAGAATTGTGATAAAGAATATCAGGGTTCATGCTGAAGATTTTATTTAAAGTCTTAGCAAAGTGATGGTTTATACTGTTGGAATTCTACAGGTAGAAAAAGTGAAATATAGTGTAAAATTAAAAGGTTCAGTTAATTAATGTCCGTTTTTTTGTTCTTTTTGAAGGTATTACAACAATTTTGTTTTAGGGACTGTGAATTGTAAAGGTCTTGCAGTAGATTCAGAAGCTGGCGTATTATACTTCACAAGTTGGCTTCCTAATGAAAAGTACGCCTCGATATCTATCGTTAGTGTTGATGGTTTATATCAACAAACACTTCTTAACAGCATAGATATATCTAAACTTAGAAAACCTGAAGAATTGGTATTGCATATTGAAAAAGGGTAAGTATTATTTGTAGGTAATCAGTAAGATGCTTAGAAAATAACTTTATTAATCACAAATTTAATTATAATAATGGTTACTTGCTAGTTAATGTGAATAATGAAAATAAAAACTAGTAAATTGTAATTTGGTTATAATTTGTGTGCAGACGTATGTACTGGCTTGATCATGGTTATAATCCTACGGCATTATTTACTGCTTCAATGGCCGGAGAGAAGGTTATTCGACTTAGATGTAGTAACGATTCTAACTGTACACAAAATGCTCAATCGCTTGCATTGGATTCTGAGTTAGGATTACTATTTTGGACTCAATCAAATCGTTCCGCTATTCGTGCAATGTCACTGTATGACTCTTCGAATACGGTATGTTGTGATTTAATGGTACAAATATGGTTATATGTAGTTTAATAATACACTAGTTCTTTTATCAGTGTTTCTTGATGACAATCGAAATTTTCTTTTAAATATTCCATTTAAGATCCTTCACTGTAGTGCATTTGCATTTTTGTTAATTATTCCATTAAACTATCCATTTATACATAGTTTTTTTTCTCCGCAAAATTATAATATTGAAATTTTAGCTCTTTAATTCATATTTTCAAGCACTAATTTTGAAGTATTTAGGTTTATGAACTTTTGATTTCATCTGTAGAAGCTCATCCAGTTGCGCATATCACTGTTGATCCAGTTGCTCATGAGCTATTTTTCTATGCTCCAGCCACAAAATCGATTGTAGTTCAACAATATAAGTTGAAAAAAGTATCCGAAAAAGTCAGAACCCTTCAGTGGTAAGTTATTCTTGTAACTGCGCAGAAATGAAATTTTAATAAGTCAAGGCTTCAGAGTAGTTCTATGGAGCAGATTAGATATAATTAAGCTTTGATTCAGTAACTAAATTACCAATATTTAAGAGAACAAACTTTTTAAAGTATAAAGTAATTGATAGTTTCAATTTGATAACATTCTATTGCGGACGATATTTAGTTTGTGTTAACTTAAATCTAATAACTGTTTATAGCATCATCAACATCAATAAATAAAACACACAAGCTGAACTTAGATATAATTACATAATGTCATCAAACTCCGGACTAAAGGCCTTGTTGAAAATTTTTGAAGAATGGTTGAATTTGATATTTTTTAGATTAAAGTTAATCAAATTCGATATTTCATTTGCTTCAATCAATCATTGTTTGTATTATGTATTAAAAATCAATGCAGTTAAAGATAGTTTGTAAAAAAGCAAAACAAAAATGTTCCATGTCAAAAAAAGTGATTTTGTTAGATACTGTTAAGCACGGAATATTGTCAATTCAGCTATTGAAGTACTGTAAAAAATTTTGTATGTATACATACTTTTCACTTCAATTAATATTCGTTTATATTGTATTGTCTACAAATTATTCGTTTGGAAACAGAAAAGAAAGCATGTTTTGGTATTTTTTTAGAAAAAAACTATTCATAAATAGCATAATTTGATCAGGTCAACGAATAGGTCATTAGGACTCAACTTATCAGCAGTGATGGCATTGACCATATTAAACAAAGCATTGCCTGAGAAAGTATCTGGCAAGTTTACTTCCCTTTGTATTCAATTTAAGGAAAATTTCATGTATATAAGTATTATCGTAAAGTTATGGACTGAAAACAAAAAGTGTTTGAACATGCATTCAATTCAAATATAATTTATGGTGCAATTTACAGATGTGATACAACGTTGTAAATTAGATTTCCCGTTATGTTTGCGTACGTTGAATTCTACGGTTAAAGCATTCTGCGCTGCTTCTTATGAATTGGAAACAGAAAATGGCATTATTCGCTGTGCTAGTTAGTTCGCCATTTTTCGTATTTTCACTTCACACTGTAATTATTTGATATGCAAAAATAATAAAAGATTATTTTTATAGCAGTATTAATTTATCAATAATCTACTGTAATTTCTTTCGAAAAAATTCATATAACATTTTTACTCACTAATTTGAAACTAACAATTATTCTCTTTTTATAATGTAGAAAAATAATTGAAGCTAAAAAAATTTGTTTTTTGTTGTGCTTAAAAAATAATTAAATGACTGAAAATTACTGAAAACAAATACGAAAAGTTATTGATAATTAAGGACAATACTTGTAATATTTTTTGATTGATTATTACTTTATAATGTTTGCAATGATTGTCCCTAAAATCTTTTCTCGATAGTAAAAGTTTGCTTACACAGTTCTTTTACAGATACTGAAAAACTGCTGTTATATACGGAGGAACGCGTAGGTTTACGAACTATCAACCTGCGTGATACAAAGTTTGATGAACACGAAATTACCATGCTTTCTTTGTCACCATTGTTACCTGTTAAACCATCTTTGTTAGCTGTGGATTTTATACGGGAAACAGTATAATTTTTTGAATATTTTATTATCATTATTGTTATTATCACTATTACTATTGAAATTATCAGATAAAAAAAAATAGTGCTTGCGTTTACAGAAAGCAAAATTTAGATAATAACTGAAAGTATTGCATTGAATTGAGCTTAGTTTTCTTTTTTATTCAGTAATTCTCACTTTTTTAATATAACTTTATATTGAGTATCAACTCTCTTGCTAATAATTGGCACGCATTTATTTACTGAGTTTGCAAGTTTTAGCTGTATACAGTTGATAGTGAGAAGAACGAAATCTGGAAGAGTAATTTAGATTCAACTGATGGTCAGTTGTTGCTCGATGGTGGAGCTTCTAGAATTTCATCCCTTGCTGTTGATACAATTACTGGTCAGTCAATCAGTTTTTTAAATTAAATTATTATATATTGCTTTCGTGAATGAAAAATTGTCCAAAATATGCTATCGAAGACTAAAATGTAGTTAACTGATACTTTGCTGTGCTATTTTTTAATTTAGATTTTACTTGTATATATTGGATCTATAGGTAATATGTACATTGCATATCGTCCAACAATGCATTCAGTGGAAGGTATTATTGAGTTGCTAAGTCCAATTAATGATAATATCAGATTGACTATATTCAAGGAGCCAGATTCTGTTCCACAAAGCATGAGTGTCGATCCCAATGAAGGGTAAATTTTTACTTAAATTTATTTTTATTTATAACAATACTTGACATTATACAAGTTGGTTTCAGATTTATATTTTGGATTAATGCTAAGAAGGGAATACGCAGGAGCTATCTAGATGGAAGCTTTGTATTAACAATTCTAAAGTTAGAGAATATCGCAGCCCTATCATTGGATTTAAGCGGAAAAAAAATTTGCTACGCACTATTCAAAAATAATGAAAGCAAATTAGCTTGCTGTGATTACAGAGGGCAAAAAGAAAACTCTGTAATTTTTTAAATTTATGATATAAAATGATTTAATTTATCGAAGAAAGTAATCAATTAATGTTTATTAAAGTAATAATAATAAAATAATGATAATTTTAAAGCTTGTTTTTGACAATAAAGAGTAAAAAAGGTGTTGCAAAACGATGCTATTCTTCTTTTGTCTTATGCTTAAAATTAGCTCTTTTGATGAATGAAAGTGAAAATTTCCAATTTCTTTAGTTTATTGTTCCGAAAGTTAATGGAAGAATCTCAGCAATTGCTATTCACAATGCTTCATTCTTCGCCTCACGCAGGTAATCGCCAGAAATCTTGGTTGATCTCTGTTGATTTACTCCTAAACAGTAATGATTCAATCATTTGCTTCTGAAGTTTTGAAGTTTAGCATCAACAATGATTGGGAGATCATAGAGCTAACAATCAGCGATGCTGTGATTCAACGCCGTAAAAGAGTTTCTGCTAGGATCATCGCAATGACTGTCTTAGATTCAAGTGTAAAAACAAGTAACTTTCCTATGATTGTCTTTTAGTTGCAGCAAAGTAAAAGTAAAGTGTAGTACAATATATCTTACCGCATATTTTAGCAAACAGTCCATGCGCTGTTAATAATGGAGGCTGTAGTCAGATTTGCTTCTCATTGGGAAATGGAGGCAAAAAGTGCTCTTGTTCATTCAGCAAGTTAGCATCTGATGGGCGGACTTGTGAACGTATGTCATTTTCGTTGTGTGAAAGGTCAAATAAAATTAGAACGAAAAAAGTGCAACATTTTTTGTGTTTCTATGTATTTGATTAATTTAGTACTTTTAACAATAATTCGAATTAGCATTAGCGTCTTATCACTGTCATGTAAATATGTTCTTACTCGTGCGCTTATAATATGTTTTACCTGTACATGTAACATAAACTTATAAATGCTTCTGTATTTAATTTAATCGGAATTATATTTACGAAGTTTATCCAGGGTATTTGTATATAATGGCAATGTTTTAGCGTTGAATTCTTTTGTTGCCTTCTCCCGTGGCTTCAAGATTGAATTTGTTTCTGTACAAAGTGGCATAGATGACTACGCTGGTACTGCTTTAAAACCGGTAAAGATATTATTCATTTTCAAAGGTACTATTCATTTAAATTGCTTGGCTTTGGATAATTTTACCAACTTCTTCAATGAAAACGGTTTTCAGATTCAAAAGGAAAACTTAATACGTAATGCTGTTGCTTTAACAGCTGATCAAGAACGATCATTATTGTTATTTAGCGATATTCATTTGAAAAAAATTCAAGCGATCAGTTACGATGGTTCTATGCATTTTATTGTTGTTGAAAGTTGGTTCATTATTATTCAAAAAAAAATGAGTAATCACAGAAAAAGAATGTAAATACATTGTTTAGAATAAATGCTTCAGATATTGGGTCTGTAGAAGGATTAGCATTTGACGCAAAACATCGTGATCTTTACTTCACGTCACTTAGCAAACGGTCTATTATGCGAGTATCAATTACAAGTATTGACCCATCAAATTACCCTAAAAAAGCTGTCGAAATTTTGCATCTATCAAAAAATGACAATCCTCGTGGTATTGCTGTTGACCCCTGTACAATGTATGTAATATTACAATCATAGTTATTAGAAATAGGAGAATGATGTGTTATTTGGGACAAAAGGTCAATCGAGATGGAAATTTTGATTTTAGCACTTTTAAAACGTTGTTCTGATTTAACGTTTCAAAAAAAAATGCTTTAAATAACTAGTTAATAATTAAATACGAAAGTTATTAGATAAATAGAAATGATTTGTTTAAATGAATTTCAGGATGATATATTTTACCAACTGGAGAGATGATATGCCAAGCATTGAGAAGGCATATTTTAGTGGATATGGAAGGGTAAAACTTCTAAAAGCATTTCACCGTAATGTATAACAAATTATATGTCGATTTTGCTTTTTAGCTTTTTAAAACTAGCAGATGAGATTGACTTTGTATTGAAGCAATATTGAGGTGCAAAAAGTTTAGTTCGATTTGATTTTAATTGAGAAATTCAGCAAATTACTTCATAAGTTGAATATTTTTTAAGTTAGAAACTATGATATTTTGTTTAAACCATAAGAGAAACAACCATTAGACAAGTTATGTAAAGGAATATAATTAATGTGAAAATACAGTGGGTTTATTTTTTAAAAGACAGAAGAAAATGTGAATACAAAATGGATTTATTACATTTATATTAATTATCATGCAGGAACGAATTATAACAAAAGATATTCGAACACCAAATGCTGTGGCAATTGATTCTACATCACGCAAATTATATTGGTCAGATGCGCGGCTGGATAAGATCGAAAGATGTAATCTTGACGGGAGCAATCGAGAGGTCACACTTTTACATGTTTCATATATTTATTGAATAATTATCTTTGAAAATTTTTTTAATAAAATTATTTTAAAATAATTATATGACAAATTCTAGATAATTTTACAAGGCAGTGATTCGCTGTCAGCTAGCAAATTGTCGCATCCATTTGGATTATGCATACTTGGAGATACTTTGTATTTCACTGATTGGTTACATTTTGCATTAATTGCTGTGAATAAATTTAATGGCGGAGAAATGCGCATTTTGCGAGCTAATTTTAGCGAGCAACCGATGGGAGTAGTTGCAATTGATAGTGGTCAATCCACTGACCTGTGTTTGTCATTTTTACTTAGGACTATGTTTCCATTATAAATTCATCTCATTTAGGTTTTTTGAAGAATATTCTAAACGGTTATTTTCATCACTAAATTTCAGTTAAAATTATAATTCGTATATTTAAGTTGAAGATACAATTTAATCATTAAGAATTGTAGGTAACTTTGATGCTTGCCAGAAAAGAAATTTGCATTGTGAGGATGAATGCCGTTTGAATGCTGATGGAAGTGCACATTGCGTTTGTGGTCATGGCAAACGTCTGAATCCCGATAATACTACTTGCTCAGGAGGTACATTTTTTTGTTTTATCATAGAGTAATGTTTTGAAACCAAATGCAAGTTACAATTTCTATAATCTTGCTTACAGAGTTTATAGCATTGTGTGGACACGATGAATGGGCGTGCTCAAAAATTGGTCGATGTATCAAATATGAGGAAACATGCGACTTAGTAAAAGACTGTCCTAATGGAGAAGATGAAGATTATGATTTTTGTGGTTCGTCAAAATTGTCATTCTATAAAAATACTTCTTGAAGTGTAAAATATTAGAGATAATTATTTCATATGATACAAATTGTCTAATCTTTTTTTCATATTTTTGATCAAAGCACTTGTTGCAAAATGTAATGAAAACGATGATTCTGTTTAGTAACCAGTAAATTTTGATCAAAGCACTTGCAGCTGGTCGAATTTGTCGTGAGGGATATTTATCTTGTGGTAATGGCTTGTGCATACCTGAAAGAAAGAAGTGTGATAAAGTGAATGATTGCAAGAATTATCAAGATGAGATCAATTGTGAGTGCTCTCAAAATGAATTTAGGTAAGTAATTTGTTTAAAATGTCAAAAAGCACTGAGATTTTTTTTCATTTTTTGCAAAAAATTGAAGAATTCTTTTTGCTTTAACATCTGCAGCTATTCACACCATTTAACGTTCATATTATAGTAATATAGAAGCTGATTGTGTAGGAAATGTTGCATTATTGTACATTTTTGAGCTACTTAAAGTAATATTAGCTCAGCTACTAGTCCTAATTTTTTTCACAGATTAAGTCTCAAAAGAGATAGTAAATTTCTTTTGGAAGAACTTTATTACAGATGTGGAACTGGGATGTGCGTACCATTACATGCTCGTTGCGATAATAAAATGGATTGCAACGATGCGAGTGATGAAATGAACTGCAGTAAGATTTGTAAAAGTTTGACATTATTTTTGGAAGTATTTTGCTCTTTTGTGATTCCAAAAAATGTTTATTTGTAAGGAATTTTGATAAGTAAATCATATTTTTTCATCACAGTAATCGTTTCTTTATTTTATTTCAGCAAAAAGAAACTGTTCAGAAATAATAACATTAGGTCAGCCAATGATTAATTGTGAACATACGACGCAATGCATTTTACCAGCGTGGTTTTGTGATGGAACAAACGATTGCTGGGATGGTTGGGATGAGCAAAAATGCTTTGCAACTCGTAAAAGTAATAACAAATGTTAGTTCTATTTTTTGAAAATGTAGTAATTTGTTAAATTTTTTAAAATATTAAAAATATCCAACATTTTTTTGCCAATATGTGATAAATCGAAAATATGGTTTATTTTTTTTATTTTTTTCAATTAGAATGAGTAATGAATGACTTATCAATGCTTAATTTCATAAATGTAATTTAACGATTAAAATTTAAATTCATGTTTAGAGTATAGTTATGAACAATTTTTCTAAGTGAAAAGATTACAGATACACATATTTTAACTCAACAAATATGTGATAAGCATCAGCATCGATGCAACTCAACAGGCACCTGTATACCATTTTCATGGGTATGTGATGACCATCGAGATTGTGCAGATTCTTCTGATGAAGCCTTCTGCGGTGAAAATTTCCGCTAATTTTATAAAAATATCGCGAAAAAATTGTGTCTAATTAATGTTTCATATGACATAACATTCATAAAATTTTCAAACTTGACGTATAATAGTTTATACATTTGATCAGATTTAGCAGTTATCTTTAATAAACAGAGAGTGTTTTTTAGCAAAGACATGTAATCCAGATGAACATATGTGCACGTCAACTGGTAATTGTTTAAGCAAAAAATGGCAGTGTGATGGAAAAGATGATTGTGAAGATGGAAGTGATGAGTTAAACTGTGAGGGGTAAGAATGAATTTAATTTTTTTAGATTTAGTAATATTCATAACTATCTTAGGAAAAGTTAAATTTTCCGATCGTTTTCAACTTACTCTAATTGTATCAATTTTTACGGAGTTAAAAATTTAAGTGTACAGAAAAAAGTAAGGTGAAGTGATTGAGATGTTTAATTACATAATAACATATTTAGTTCTATTGGAAAAATTAAGTGTTCATCGAGTGATATTTTTTTGTAAAAATTAATTTTTCAAAATGATTAAAATTTCTGTTTCTCTTGTCATCATTTTTGCACTGTCACTATACAGTATATGGCGCAACTAGGTATGCTGTACTGTAGCTAGTCTAATTTAATAAATATGTTACTTTTCGTTTGTAGGGAATGTGATGAAAAAAATCATTTTATGTGTGCAAATGGTAACTGCATACCAAAGGAGTGGCGCTGCGATGGTACAGATGACTGTCTGGACGGTAATAAAGGCAGTGCAAGTTCAGATGAAACCGGATGTGGTTAGTGGTATTGATTCCTGTAAATCAAAAGACTAAGGTATTTGGCAAGTAATAGATTAAAACAAAAGTACTGGTGCAATTAAAAATGCGTCGTCAATAGAAGAGTGCTTTGAAATCGATAAGCATCGAGGTTATCGCTGTGTAAATACTACAGCAAACTTTATGTATTTTCGAATCTGATCCCAAACGTACACATAAAATTCCTCAACGTGTTGTAATTCATCGTATTTCATTTTTTATGGAAACCATTGTAAACAAAATAATGTGTACTACGATTATAATGTAGCGTATTTAGAGGATATGAAACATTGCGGGTAATTTGTGTTGTATACTTATTTAGAAATAAAACAATGAACAGTAAAAAAAAGAATGTTAAGTGTGGTGCACTATCAATTGGAAACTTGAATTGCTGTGTAATATTTCAGATGAATCATTAATGATAATATTGCGTTCGTGTAAGCAAAATGAGTTTACATGTAATGGGAGTACAGCTACTGGACCAGTACAGTGTATCCCACGTCGACATTTTTGTGATGGTGAACAGGACTGTGATGATGGTAGTGATGAACCTCCCTCATGTGGTATATTTTGTTACTGTATCAAGAAACGGAACTTGCATGAAGTTTTGAAAATCATTTACCAAGTGTTTGCTATTTCTATCATAAAAAATAATTGAAGAGTAAAAAATTGCAGGTCATAGGCAGTGTGCTGATTGGCAATTTCGTTGTGGCAGTGGGCAATGTATTCCTCAGAATTGGACATGTAATGAAATTTTGGATTGTTCAGATGGTACTGATGAAGCGGCCGTACTTTGTGGTGATCATTCTACGGGTTATTGTGGAGCAGAAATGTTTCAGTGCAATAATAAAATATGCATCGATCCATCACTTGTTTGCAACGCCAAAAATGATTGCGGTGATAAGTAATATTTCCTAAATGGTATAGAAGTAATGACATTTAGTTTTAAGTATAAAAAACTGTAACGATAAGATTAAAGTAAAAGTCGTAAGTATTGAAATGTCCACATAGTATGTTTAAATTATAAAATGAGATAAAAAATTGTTTTTTTCAGGAATTAAATTTTTTATTTCTACATTTCCTTTTTCTGTTTTGATCATAATTGACTGATATAAAAACTAAAATTCGACTTTTTGACAGCCTGATATCACTGTAAATGAAAAACTGTTCTTTGTAGTCTTGGTTTCTAGACTGAGATATCAAAAATCTGCTTTATCTCAATACAAATATGAAAAAAAAAACCGTAAAATTCATCTTTTATTCAAAAACATAAAGTAAATGATGATACAGTGTCAAATTATTTTCATTAATATTAAATTACTAATTTTGAACGATATTTTACGTCTGTAGCGAATTAATTCCACAATAGAGGTTAATGTTTGTTGTTTGAAAAATTTTCATTCCCGGAATTTCCTTTACTTTTGGTTGTGGAATTTATGTGTTTGAAGTAATTAGCAAATACTCTCATATTAAATGTTTTCAGTTGTTACGAAAAACTGAAGACAATAAGCTAGTAGGTAAAATATTATAAATGTAATTCGACAGTATCGAAATATTACGACTGGCAGTAAAAAATAATCAAAAAAAATGAATTAAAGAATAAGTTATTGTGTGAGAAAAGAATATTTAAAGTAAGCTATTTTCAGTTCAGATGAACCATCCATATGTAATGTAAATGAGTGTTTGGAGTCGCCATGTGAAGATCGTTGCGTTGACCTACCGATATCGTACAAATGTGAATGTTCAGCACCTCGAGTTCTTAGCAGATATGATAATCGATCTTGCATCTGTAAGTCTTTTCTATTTTTCTTGAATCTTACTAATTTGGTTTTTTGAAATCTGAGTTTTGTGTAAATTTATTAACGCTTTGAAACTTATTTGCAGTGGTGAATCCCTGTGAGAAGTTTCCATGTTCCCAAAGATGTATCAATAAAGGAGATATCGATTTTGAGTGCGAGTGTGTTTTTGGATATCGTTTAGCTCCTGATAAGCGTACTTGTCGTCATTTAGATTCAGGTAGTTTAATAATCTCAAATTTAAAATGAAGTCCAGTTTGAAGCAAAAGAATCACTGAACCGAAGCACTTCATAGCTTCATAACATTATTATAAGCTTAAACTTTTTGTTTACAGCCGGTTAAAATAGCGTAAGATTAATAGACAGCTATATTTTATTCATAGTTGTCAAAAATGAGCGAAAGTAGATTAAGGTAAATGAGTATATAGAATGATTAGTAATAACAAGTAATTCAATTTCAATTTGTTGCAGTTGAGCCTGAATTGTTGTTAATTAATAGACATTTTATTCGACTATATTCACTTTCGGGATCTCCTAAAGGAGCGCTTTTAACAAATTTATCAAATGGGGTTGCTGTTGATTATGATATTTTGTCACAATTAGTATATTGGACGGATGTTACACATACCGGTAGTACCATTGGTTACACATCACTTAGTAAACAAGGTGGCAGATATAAGGTAAGAGGAACTTTGCATTACTATATTCTAGAGAATCCAGTGGAAAACTGTTCTTTTAGCTACCATTTGTTAAACAAGATTTCAGTTCTTTTATAAATTGTTTGAATTTTAAGAGTTTATTCCATCATAATAAATGATAATTTCCTCAGAACAAGCTTAACATACTACAGACTGCAAAAATTAAGATTTTTATCACTTCTAGGTACTGAATGGGTTGTTCGGAGGAAGCCCGGATGGCCTTTCTGTAGATTGGCTTGGCAGAAATATCTACTGGTGTGATAAGGTTTAGCACATATTATATCATGAATTATATTGCATTAATGTATCGTGTGGAGTTGGGTTTTGTTTCAGGATGGAGATAGTATTTCTGTTGCTGATATGAAAGGCCTTTACCGGCACATTTTATTGAAAGGTGATCCACTTCAAGAACCTCGAGCTATCGTTCTGGACCCTCTCGAAAGGTTAGCTTTAATTTTGCTTGTTATTGTACGAGATGCAAGATAGAACAGAATATAAAGTTTATGAATGAAAATAAGGATTATTCCCTCATAAGATTTGAAAAATTGACGTAAAAATCTAAATGAAATGTAGAGAGTAAATATTTAACACTTCTTATATTTAACACTTTCTTACTTTTGTAGTGTGTTGTTCTGGTCAGATTGGGGCGACCGTCCGCATATCGGCCGAATGGACATGGATGGAGCTAATCGTCATTTGATTATAACAACTTCACTAAAATGGCCCAATGCTTTGGCAGCAGATGTTACAATGAAACGAATTTTTTGGGGTGATGGACATTTGGATTACATTGGTAATTTTGCAATAATTTAAAAAAAAACCAAAAAAGGGCAGACCCAAAAAGTGTTTTTTAAATTGCTGAAAGTCCAGATAATTATTTATTAGGAAAATACATTGATTCTCGAATATATGTGTTTACTCGTTATCAACCAGTAAAAGTAGGTTATTGATCGATAACGGGGATTAAAGTAGATTTTAATGTATAAAATTGATTGAAGTTGCGGGAATTTTCAGATGAATAAATGTTCTTTCTCTAAATGTACAATTATAGGCTCATCGGATTATGATGGCAAAAATCGGCGTACTGTGATTCTGAAAGCAACACGGCACGTATTTGGTTTAACTGTGTTTGAAGATTTTTTGTATTGGACTGATTGGTCTAATCGAACCGTTGAAAGAGCACACAAAATAACTGGTCAGATGCATAAGGCAATATTAAATTTTACTCATTACCGACCGATGGGAATTAAAGTAGGTTTTAATGTATAAAGTTTACAAAAATTGCGGACATTCTTGATTTTTCGTAAAGAAATGTTAGGCAACTAAATCAACTTTTTTCTTGTATCGCTGGTTATAAATTCATAAATAGTATATTGAATAAAAATGTATTTAGGTAGTGCATCCACTAATGCAAATGGCTGCTGACAGCGTACATCTCAATCATCCTTGTCATAAGCAGAATACATGTGATAATCTTTGTCTTCTCTCCTCTAATAAAGGTATTAAAAATATAATATTTAAGAATTGTTCACTTCATAATATTCGTAGCATTTTTGTTCTTTGTAAACCAATAAAGAAAGCAAAGTGATACGTTTAAGATGGATTTTGAGCGATAAGTATGACTTATTTACTTGATCTTCATTAAATTTCAGATGGATTTACATGTGCTTGTGCTGAAGGCTTCCAAGCAATTGCTACAAAATGCAAGCCTAACTGCAAACCGTATGATTTTATTTATGAAATTATTTATAAAACTTAAGCATCTGACTCGCATGAAAAATTTTACTTTTGTAGGAGTGATTTCATCTGTCGTAATACTTACAAATGTTTACCATTTTGGTGGCAGTGTGACGGCCAAGATGATTGTGGTGATATGGAAGATGAGCACTTTGGCATCAGAGGTATCTTAAAAGATATTAGATACTCGTTGAAATTATGATCTTACTGTTATGCAGTATGTAATACGCTAATTATATATGAAATGCTAAAATTTATTTCAAATATCGAATATACATAGTTAAAAGTAAAGTTGTTTGTTTGAAGGTAGCTGTTTGCTGTGTATGAATTTTGTCTATCATAAATATAATACTGAAGGAGGATTTTTGTAAAGCAAGAAATTTGAATGCTACATATGACTAAATATTTAGCAAAATTAGAAGCAGTTCTATCATCAAGGGATAGTTTACATCATATTTGTACCGAGAAAAAATTGGTACATTTAAATATTAAATACATGCTTGGCAACTCCTTTTAATGAGCAGTTTATTCAGATGCATGCCCCGAATTCCATTGCGAATTGGGGGAAATGGCTTGCAAAAAGGATATGGGTACAAACGATTCAGTCATCTGCATAAGTCCTCAGAATATTTGCGATGGAAAGAATGATTGCCCACTAGGAGATGACGAAGAAGCTAAGCTTTGCAGTATGCTTTTTCTGTTAATGATCCAAATTATATTGTGCCAAGTTCAAGTATTATGAGGTACATTAAAAACATTGATCATTTCGTGAAACGATTCTAACTTAACAGTTCACATATTTCAATTTCAGATTCATATCAGTGCATAGAGGGACAGTATAAATGTTTAAATTCATCTAAATGTATTCCTGTGACTGCTGTTTGTGATAGTGTTGACGATTGTGGTAACGGAGATGACGAGAAAGAATGTGGTTCGTTCAGCTGTTATTTAAACTATAACTATATGATATGCATATGTATCACATCTTAAATTTAACATTAATTTGTCGTTATGAACCACTATTATATAATTCAATTTATCGTCAATTTGATATAATATCTATCTGTCTATGTAGCTTCTAAATTTAGCACTGCGTAACTGTTTGGAATCAGAGTTCCGTTGTTCTTCCGGTCGATGTTTGCCGCTGAGTTGGAAGTGTGATGGTCAAATTGACTGTAAACATGGTGATGATGAAAAAGGTGAATAAGTTTGTATCATAAACATGAAATCTAATTGTTTTTTTTTCATTAATATTTCGTCAATGTCTCAAAAGTGGCATCTATAGCGGAGAAGTTTATTATTTGTTATAATATTGTTCAGAATCTATAATCTAAGAATGAATTAATGCAATGTAATTGAACTTTTTAATAATTTTGTACAGAATCACTTACACATTCCATCAGTTGTATCGTGTTTTCTAGTTCTCACAAATTCCGCGTTAACTTTCTCTCGTTAGCATGTAGCTAACATTAACCTTAAATGAGTTTAAAAAAATAAGTTTTAACGTTTTTTGCAGCTGATAAGAAAATGAGATCAGTTTTAGATTGTGCTGCAAATTGTGATAAGGAACAGTTCAGATGCATGAATGGTTCTCGTTGCATTGCAAAAAGGTATCTATTGAAATACTCTCGCATTAATTAAAGCAAAAAATGATTACTCTTTTTAGATTACTCCTTTGTAGTTTTAGCGCTGATCATTTCATTTCTTCGAAACTGTTTGCTATATTCGTCTCATGAATTTGTCTAGATTTTTAATAAGTAAAATCATATAACGAAAATCATTGAATTCCATGCATTGATAAAATGTGTATAAGTATTGTGATTATTTGAAAATTTTCATTATGTTGCATAATTTAGAAAGCTCAAAATTTGTGAAGAGAAAAAGGTTGCTGTGGAGAACTATTTAATTGCAACTTCATTATGATCATATTTGAATATATTTATTATTTAAAGTTGGATCTGTGATGGTGAGCAAGATTGCGAAGATGGTTCAGACGAGATGGAATGTGGTGACGATCTAATAACGAAGATGGATTGCGATAAAGATCATTTCCGGTGCGCAAACGGACAACAGTGTCTTCCGCTTGCTTCCAGATGTGATGGTATTCGAGATTGTATGGATTTTAGTGATGAAATTGATTGCCACAGTTAGTAGTTAATTATTCACTCAAATAGGTACTAGTTTGCGTAGATTTGGAAGTAAATAAGTGAATGATCTTAAAGTGAGTCAGTTCTCTATCTTTTTATTACAAGTAAAAAATTGTTCTTTTTAAAAACGAAATCTTTTAATTTGATTTTCTGAAGTGAAAATTGCCAAATCTTTTGCTTGTTCTTTGAAATTTTTTTTTTACGAAATTCGTACGTAGTGCTTATTTTTACTCATTTATATTTCAAATATTTTTAATGAGACAAATTTTAATAAAACAATATGACTTTTTACCAAATGAAGTTGAAGATTGTAAAAATGGAACAATCTCGTGTAGTAAAATTTCTTCATCATGCATACTACCAAGTCAGATTTGTGATCAGTCAATTGATTGTGAAGATGCATCTGATGAACTTTATTGTTGTAAGTATTTTTAATGTACTTCTAAATTTCGATTTCATATCTATGTGTATTTATATAAAAATAGTCTAATATTTTAATTTTATCATTGTATTTTGCAGCATGCTCAACTAGTGGGCAATATCATATTGAATCTTTCCAGTGTTTTGACGCTAATTCGTAAGTTTCTATTCTCTTTAATTTTTTCAGTAAGCTTTTTGCTGATTCTTTTATAATTTGCACATTTGGTTCTTTCAGGTCATTAGCACTTTCAAAATTTTCATTATCGTATTGTATACCAAGAAAATGGGTTTGTGATGGTATACCACAGTGTCCCAATGGCTATGATGAAGATCCACGAGTGTGCGGTGTGATTTTTCTTTTAATTTAATTGAAAATAATATTATACGCTTCGATTTGACATTTGAAAGTGTTTTCTCATCATGCTTTATTTCATGTTACGCTTTCTTGCTGATCTATTGAATATTTTTAAATATTTTACTGTATTTCTGGTGTAATTTATTATTCATTGCAAATTCTAAAATTCATATCAAGAAGTTACTCATAGCTAATTCTGTCAAATTTATATATTTTTCCAAAATCTTTACATGTATATTTATTTATTTCAGCAATTCATGACTGTGGTGATAATCATCTCAAGTGTAAAAATAACATTTGCTACCCTCTCTCCGGTTTTTGTGATGGTATCCCAGATTGCCTTGATGAATCAGATGAGAAAAATGCTTACTGTGAGTTATCTGCTGCTGTTAAAAAACCGAATTGAAAATTATTACAGTTGTTGTCATTTCGAATTTCTAGATTATTTTTTTAGGCAACAAAACTTGTCGAGACGCATTTCGATGCTCAACTGCAGGACGCTGCATACCATATTCATTTCAGTGTGATGGTAAAGATGATTGTGGTGATGGAACTGACGAACTTAATTGTGGTTTGTTGCGGAATTTTATCGAAATTAAATCTGAAAAATTAAACTTTGAAACTGTATAATGTTGATTAAATAAAAGTTTTGCTATAAGTGCGTGAGCATACATTGCTCTAGATTTAATTCGACATTCTGTACTTGAAAGAAAAATATTACAGATATCAGAAATTTATGTGATGTATTCGGTTCTTGTAGCCAGGGATGTGTTCCTCATAAGCATATGATCAAATGTGCTTGTGCTCCTGGCTATATTCAAGAATTTTGGCATGGAAATCATTGTAAAGCCGCTGGGGATAAAATACCCAAAGTAGCGATTATTGATGGAAAAATGATTCACGTCTCGCATATTCATCGTAATCCCTCACTAGCATATTTAGAAACGATACAGCTTAGTCAACCGATTAGTGATTTTAATTATATTATCGATGAAGGTCGACCTAGTGATAACAGCAAGCAACGTCTAACCTATTTCTGGGTTGATTTTGTGAGTTGCTGATATTTTGTTTGCATTTTCAGACATTTTGCTTGTATTTATGCTAATTTTAAGCTTAATTCAATCCTTAGAAGTCGTCTACATCACATGAGATCCTTGAATCGTGGAGAGAGCATTTAAATGTTTAGGACTGGTGACTTCAGGTTTTTCTGCATTACAATTTTTTTTAGTGTGATCAAATTATTTTGTTTACAAATTACTAACTATTGTTGTTTCTAGACAAATCATATAAGAAATGGTTCCCTATTCAATATAATTGGACCATCAGTAATATCGTCAACCGAACATGGCGAAGTTTCTTTCAAGGTTTCGTAATGATCTTTTTCCAACTTTGAACATTATTTTTGTGCTTAAGACTTTAAGATTTGTTATAAATGATAAAATGTAGAATTTTTAAATTTTAATAGTAATAAATTATGTTTTAAAATTTCAGTCAAATCACTGGTTCCCGTTGATTTGTGTGGATTGGATTAATAGAAACATTTATCTAGTGAAAAGTACTTCAGTTTCAGGGTAAAAATTATATCTTTGAAATATGCTAAGAAATCTGAAAATAATTCTGTCATTCATATATGTTCATGCATGCAACTTCAAATTCACAGTTTTGTTTATTTAAGGTTGATGTCAGACGTTACTTTTTATGTTATCTGAAGTGTTCAAAAAGTACTATGAACTATTGTCATCGCTAAGGTTGTTTCAGTGGCACAGAAGATGCTGTGATAACGGTCAGCGCGATAAGTGAAATCAATAAGCCAAATTCGAGTGTGCCGATCATTTGGGGAGGAATTTCAGTGGTAAGTGGATTGGTCGTGGCACCGACACGAATGGCTCTCTTTTGGAGTGTTCAGAAGCCCTTCCCAGCTATTGAAAGTTCACTTTTAGATGGCAGTTCTAGGCGGAGTTTAATTTTGACGGGAATTCATTCACCCACCAGTATTACTGTGGACGAGCCAAACAAGTTTCTAGTTTTATTTTTAGTGTTGTAAAATTTTATACATTAGCCAAACAAATAATTTGTGATTGCAGAAAAAATAAATAGAGAGGAATTAAAAGCAATTTATGTGACTGACTATAGAATTAATTTTATGCTAGATAATTTATTAGAATGTATAAAGTCAGTGAGCAGAAGCGATACGAGCATCTGTAAATTTTCACTTAACAGCTGTGAATATTGTATGTGTTTTATAACCTCAAATATTTTGATGTTTACAACAATCAAAATGTAAAATTTATCAATTTTAAATAATTGTTTGAATTTTTTTAGCCGTTTATATTGGGCTGATGTTGAAAAAGGCACAATCGAAACGATTACACTTGCTGGAAAAGATAGACGAGTGATCAAGAAGTACGGCTACAAAGGTGATGAAAAATGAAATTTATAAAAGTTTTGAAATATAAAAGTGCCACAAAATGTATTTATTAATTTTGTTTAATTAGTGTGTTATACAGAATTTAACTCAGATATACAACCAGAAAAGTCAAAAAAAATATTAATTTATTTTTCATGTATTTCGTGATAAGTCTACTTTTAATAAGAACTTTTAGATTTTATTGCTTTTATGCATCATGCTTGATATTTACAGTATATTTTGATGAGTACTGAACTAGTTGAATCCTGATTACTGTATTATTCAGTGTAGTGATTAAGGTAATTTAGATGGCGTATTACATGATCGTCCGCTAATGATAGACATATTCGAGGATATTTTATACGTTATTGGATCTCCTAATGGAAGTATGTGGAAAACACACAAGTTTGGTCGTTTTGATGATAAGCCTATGGATAATATCATAGTACTTAGTACGTCACCTCGACTGCTTGTTCTTCATCCAGCTAAAAGATGTTAGTTTTCATTTGTTACATCATGTTGTTAAGCAAAGTATGATTGGTGACAAGATTAAATTTATGTTAAAAAATTTATTAAAATTTGTGTAGTTTATCTGTCATCAGAAAAATCATATGAACAGTTTATTGAAGTGTGCAAAATTAAATTTAAAATTTGTTTAAATGGAAAATGATAAACAGATGTCATGAAGTCAGCGTGCTTTTCGAATTCGCGAGTATCAAAATGTGGTGCTCAGCCCTGTATTGCTAATAAAAATGGAACTTCATATTATTGCTTGTGTCCTGTTGGATCAATTTTCAGTAGCAAAATCAATGCTTGCGTAATGTTGAAAAAAGACATAAATTCTTCAGCAGGTTAAATGTCATTTTCCTTTTTATGTTTATCTTTGCTTTAAATGATCAGATTTTAGATGTTTAATTTGGTGCAGTTTTTTAGTTCTGTCTGTGCATTAGATTGAGTATGATCTAGCCATATTTGGCTTATTTTTTTGTGATATGTAAGTTGTTTGATTATGGTTTTGATAAATCACAAAAAATTTTTTAGGACTTGATAAGTTGTGTCAAAATAAGGCATGATTATTGGTAATTGTTTGAACAAAAATACACTCAGTCTCTTATTTTCAATAACAAATCTTCTCAAATAAAAAGTTGGTGTAATCATTGGAGCATCCTTAGTTCATTTTTTTCCTTGAAAACTTTCGGATTTTGTTGGTCAAAAAGCAAGTTATTCTAGAAAAAATGAACTAGGAATATTTTTATCATCACTTCAACTTTCTACTTAATAAGATTTGTTATCAAAAACAAGATACTAAGTTTATCTTCCCCAAACAATTATCAATAACCCCACATCATGTTTCATTTTTACACTATACTTCAATGTCGTATGTGTAATTTTAAATGTATGGTGAACTATTTTGCTCTATGAGAATATTTCAGCTTGTGCAATGTCATATTGTCTCAGCGGTGGTGTATGTAGTAAAGATGGCACTTATTGCATCTGCCCGAAAGGTTTACGTGGAAGATATTGTGAGACTGATATCTGCTATAACTTTTGTTTGAATGGAGGTAATTGTAGTATCAATAATGCAGTATCAGTTATACCATCTGAGCAACCTGTTTGCAGGTATATTATTGTTTACTTCATTTATTTTATCTTTTAATTCATCAAAAATTGTAAATTTCATATGAAAAAATTTACAGTTGTCCACATGAATATACGGGTGATCGTTGCCAACGTTACAAATGTACGGGTCGTTGTGGTGCGCACGGTACTTGTAGTGTATGTATTGCTTTTCAAATTGCCTTATGAATAAAATCATTCGTTTTTCATAACCATTTTCTTCTTGATACTTGACATATTTCATTTTAATTTCAAATTTATTACTTACACTACGTTACAGGTATCAACAAGACATGGATTACCAGTATGTGAATGTGATCCAGGCTATTCTGGTTCAAACTGTGATCAGCCAATCGATCCTTGTATTTCGTTCTGTTTCAATGGTGGTCGTTGCTACTATGCAGAGAGCAGAGAACCATTTTGTCTTTGTCCAGATGGTTTTATCGGTATGTTTCATAATATAGTATTGTGATTTAATATCAATATTACGATTGATTTTTGTTTCAGGTGGACGATGTGAAAATTGTGTAATGAACTCAGGTCAAATACAGGTGTGTCAGAATGGTGGACATTGCAAAGATAAGAAAGGATGTGTGTGCCCTGCTGGATTTAATGGTAGCAAATGTGAGGTTGATCTTTGTGAGGGTAAATTTTATTTTATAAAAATGCAAAATAAGGCAATAAAGTATCTCATTTTTGCTCACAAACTCCTTAATATTTAGTTCAATGTTATTTCCTCTACGATATATTTCTGATGTACTGTACACGCCAGTTTTTTTTTGTCTCTAAAGATATAAGCTTGTCATTATGTCGAAATGACAAACAGTTTCAGGTTATTGTCAGAATGGTGGTATTTGTAAACTCGTAAACGGAAGTCGTAATATAGTACGCTGCGTTTGTCCACGGGGTTTTAGTGGTGAAAGATGTGAAGATGATTGGTGCTATCAAAATAAAAACTACTGCTTGAACAAAGGTAAGCGATGTGACATCATTTCAGAAAATGATTTAATATGTTCACAGTATTGAAATCAAAGATGAGTGAATACCAGAATTAGTTGGCATAAGAAGTTATTTTGCTGACCATTTATTTTTTAATTATTATTTGTGATCGATATTTCCTTCTGAGATTCATGACAGAGTTTTTTATACAGTATTTTCAACCTACTCAGGTCGTTGCATCCGTGACATCATAAAAGGGCCATTATGTATATGTACTTCCAAGTTCCAAGGAGAGCGATGTGATGAAAAACAAGAATGCAGCGATTATTGTCTAAATGATTCGGAATGTCATTCATTAAATGATTTTGAGTGGATGTGCAAGTGAAAATTTTATTATATTTGAAAATTTGACTTTGTCTTTCTTGCAGTCAAATATTGTTGTGAAAATCATAATCGATTTTATTTATTTTTCTGCTCACTCTGTTAGAGTTTTATCTTTACCTTATGATTAAAAATCTGTTACCTATCATATACAAAATATTGAGTCTAGATGTAAACCTGGATATTCGGGTAAGCGATGTGATCTATTTGGAAAATGTTTGGAACAATGTGAAAATGGTGCCAAATGTCGTTTGGATGAAAAGTTAGGTGCAGTTTGCGATTGTCCACGAGGAATTAATGGCACAAAGTATTATTTTTGTTATTATTATCATCATTTTATTATCATTATTTATATTAATCATTTATTTATTTAATTATTTATTATTGATATTATTATTAACAAATTTAATATTTTCCTACTATTCAAAAAATACTTGTAAGGAGAACAGTGGGGCTTCGAAATTACTGAATTATGGTTTCATATGTTCACGATAATTTTTAGAATTGATAACTGATAAAATAACATTTTCAGTTCTGTTATTAACTTGATCCTTATAATGGAGACGATTTCTGAAATTTTTTAAAATTGTGATTTCCTTATTTATCGTTTATAAACTTAATTTATAGCAATAAATGATTGTAAAAGTTCTCCTTCGCAGTCAGCTTAGTCGAGAATTACTCTTTTAGTAGAATATCAAAGTAATTAAAACAATATAGCATAATTCAAGATCAGTTGTTTGATTAAAGATTAAAGATTACCTGGCATGTTCAAGTTTGTTACGTTTAGGTGTGATCAGATAGCTGTTACAAGTTGTTCGGATATCGAATGCACGAACGGTGCGCGATGTGAGATGGCGAATGCGCAAGAAGTTCGCTGCTTATGTCCGGTTGGTTGGAATGGTCTTGTTTGCTCTCTTCCTGATTGTCATAATTACTGCTTAAATGGTGGAATTTGTAACATTATCGATGCACGACCTACATGCACGTAAGCATCTTCCCTCTCATTAAAACGCACAAATTGTTTTGCTGTCAAAGTGAAGCTTTTATCTCATAATCATGAAAAGTTTATATTTGCTTTAATTTTGACCTGAGAATTGCGATTTATTTTTAAATTGAATAATTCTATAAGAAATTTGAGTTTGCATGAAAATTATGTCAATTAATGATTAATTTTGAGCATTTTAGATGTACAAATGCATGGCTAGGAGAACGCTGTCAGTTTCCGCGTTCCATTTTGAAATCATCAAAATTTACTCAGCAAAAATTACTTACAGGTACCTTCTAAAAGCAAAAAATTCACGCTATGAATTATAATTTTATTGGTGATAGTTTCTGTATTCAATTCGTTTTTACTCTCAATGATTGTAACTTCTTGACCATTAAATTTTAAAAGTTTTCAAGCTTAAATACATTGTATCGTATAATGGAGAGATAAATATATTTTTGGCATCACATTTTTTTCAATCATAAGCAGTATTTCAGAAGTGGCAATAGTTGTAACTCCAGTCATGGTTGCTGTTACAGTAATTTTTGGATTGTTATACTTGGTTATTGTAAAGCGAACTAGGTAAAGTGATTAGCATCTAAAATATTCCTTTATTTTTGTGCCATATAGGATAGATGTTTTGCGGATGTTCTCATAATTATTGTTTATGTTTTAGTGTTGTGAATCAGTTTGCGCATAGGCAAATGGTTGAAAGGTTAGATGAAAATGTCGATGAGTTCCATAATCCAGCATTTATGGCTGGCGAAACAGATGTTGCTTCCGCTTTTCTTGTTGAGGTTGGTTTTTATCCAGAATTACTTACTAATATTAAGTTTTCTTGGAAAAGTTTAACTAAGTAAAGTTTTATTGAGTTTGAAGACTTCAAAGCACTAACATATATTTTAACTCATACACAAATGTAAACTACTTATTTCTAAAGTTGGCACTCGATTTGCTCATTTTTATATGATTTCCCGATACAATATCTCACTTACTTGAAAAAAGTGGATTCGATTACTTTAAGAATTCTTCCTTAAAGTTATAAGATTTCATAGGTGTACTCAGCTGTAACTGTGCGAAATGTATCAGAAACTTCAGAATATATAAATTCATAAGATATGTTTCAAATTTCAACAATATATTTCAATGATTGCTACTGATTATTTTTCCAAAAACTATGTGGTCAAGTATACGTGTATCAGTCTTTCAAAGGTCGTTTCTATTTCGCAGAAAAGTTTTTTAATTAAGAAAACACTGAAGTAATTGTTTACTATTGTTTTAGTCTACGAATTTCACAAACCCACTCTATGACAGCGCCTACAATGATACAGTAATTACTCATTGCTTGAATCGTGAACACGAAGATAGTGTTCTCTTACCGTAGTTATGATAGTAAATTTTGATTTGTAAAGATTTTACATTAAACGATACATCACGACTTGTTTTACTTATTTTCACTTTTGCTCATTTATATTTGGTAATAATATATTTGTTCGTAAAATGTAAACATCCTTGTTTGTTTTGTCCTGAATCTTGCAAAAATAAGCAAATTTTTAATAACGAATGTTTCACTTTGCTGTTGAGAGATTTACTTTTGAATTAATGGTGCAAGAATTCGGTAACCTTTAAGCTTTACTATGATGCTTTATACGTACAGAGTTTGTTGCTATCAAAATGTAATGTAAACTTGTTTTCTTGTTTTTATGTTTCATCATATTTGAATGATTTTTTAAATCTATACAGATTTGTATATTCTTGCCATACCGTTTGTACAACATGTAATGCAGTCATGGAAAGAATCTTAACATCAGAATTTTATCAAATATGAAAGCAGTACTGAAAGATTATTCTCAGTGCTACAGTGTTTGAAATATGAAATACATGTATGCATGGGAAGATCTTTCAAAGTATAGCACATGACAAATGTAGTCAGTATTCATTGTCTTGGTGTTCTCATAAATACACTTTGAACCCTGAAAGTTATTTTGATGAAAATTATAATAACTTGCAGAATTTGAGATTTCCATTCTGTGCTTATTTTTTCAGAAAAATAAATATTATCAATAATGTCTTTTGTCAAGTACTAATTCAAGTACATTTTTTCATATTTTATAGATTTGAAGCGTGTCATTACCTGGTACAGACTTTTAAAAATCTTAATCAAGAAATCGAATTCTAAGGTATAATTGATAAGGATAAAAGCAACATTTTCTGACTGGTATAGAAAAATTGTAAGAATGCAACAGACGTGCTTTTTACGTGAATGACGAACAAATGATTGGTGTGATGAGTTGATGTGTCGAGCGGGTGGTTGCTTGTGAGGTGTCGAAGTTTTATTTCTTGTAAATTTGGAGAAAAGTCCGTCTACAAAATTTGTATGTTCAAGCTGCGGTGATGTTGGGGCTGATAAGGGTAGTACGATTTTTTGATATTTTGTATTATCTGGACAGTAATTGATAGTAAGAGGTGATGGTATTCGTAGAGGTGAGGTAGAAGGACGGTAGTAAGAAAAGTGGGTATCTCGATTGATCTGAATGAGCAGTTTATTGTTAGCACTTTTACATCACATCAGTTGTGGTGAAGTTTGAAAAAAATGAAGTAGGATGATCACTACGGGATAATTACTTGGAGCAGTTTTTTTGAGGTCAAGTCTTTTAGAAGAGCAAAAATTATTAAAAAATATGCTGTGAAATCGGAAACTGAGTAGAAAATGTAAAGTATTTAGTAAAGAGATTTGCTTACCTGTCTACTACGTTGCGTAGTACTGGGCTTCAAAATCTTTGAATACCATCGACTGGAATTTGGCTTATTTGAATGATAGCAAGGTAATGTAGTGTTAACATTTGTTGGTGGTCTAGTTTGAGGACGGTAATTTGCATGATTTGAATGTGAATTCCTCGTTGATGCAACTGGTAAAGATGATGATGATGAATTTTGCTGAAATACTTGAATATGACTTACTTATAAACTCATTTTCAAGTAATTAGTTCTGAGGTAATCAAATCATGAATTGTGTCCTCATGAGAAGGAACCAAAAATTTTTATCTCATAACTCTGTGTTAACTATTTAGTTGGTAATTTTGTGATCATATAATTAGTGCTTATAAAAACTGATTATTTGTTAGGCATACAGATAGACAAGAGGGAGCACATATATTTCAGTTATTCATTTTTAAATACCAAACTGTTTAATCATCATTTTATGAATTATTAATTTGCAGTAGTTCTCTTTTATAAATCTTAGAAATGGTCCTTCTATTAATTAATTATGTGCTACGTCAAATATGCTTCATAGAAGTGATTAAAAAAACGTCTATGTTTGGTTTTCTTCATTTGAATGACCGTTCTGCGATTATTTATGTCAAATAAAAATACTAAGTTATTATGTATAGTTCTAGGAATTAATAAAAGTAGTACTGTGCAAGTTAATAAGTAATATATATAATAAAGTTAATACTTCAAGTACCTTAGCAGAGATAAATTTACTGCCATGTACCAAAATGCCATTTAATAAATATTCCAAATTAATAGCCAACTGTTGTAAATTGGAACTACCATTGTACTCCTTGCATATTTGTACTACTTTTCGCGCATGATTTTGAGTATTTCCAGCAATTTCAATTATTTCGCGGACAAGTCTAGCTTGTTTTTGAAGTCGAGCTAGTTCATTTCGTTTAAGATTCAATTCTACTTTGCAACGTGATAATTCACCTTCTGCCTACAGTTTTATATTTGATTCTTAAATTTGCTAATTATTATTGCTTTGGGTCAAATAATTTTATGAACTCTAGCGATCATTTTCTTTACTTACATAGTGTAATCGGTTGTTGATAATTTGAGAGAATTATATTAAAGTCTTTTGTGAAGTATAAATTATAATTTGTTTAAATATTATATTATAGTAAAAAAGTAGCAAAAATCAAAAGGAGGATAATTTACAGTACTAAATTCAAGCATTACAAAAATTTATTAGCTAGCAAGGATAACTTTTTGTAGGTAAAACTTCTCGTCGTCTACTTTGTATTGTTTTGGTTCCAACATGTGTGCATTGTAGTGCATTCTCTGATTCGTTCTTTCTTCAGCTGTCACCTAAATTAACCGATTATAACAGATTTCATTTCTCGCTACCATTTTACCTTTACTTAATTTGAATTTCATTGAGAATCTTCTAAATACCCTTACTGGTATGTTTTTTGCTAAGCACTGAATTGCTTGAAGAAGTTTTTGTCGTCCACAACTATCGATGCCCATACACTAAAAATTACTCACGTGTTTGCATGTGGAAGTTTTAAGTTTTATTCAACAAATTAAAATTAATAAAAAGCACCTTAAATGGAAATATTAAAGTTATACAGTGAGAATAATTCGCTCGATCTTATCAGAGATAACAAGAAAGTGTCAACAAAACAATAATTAATATTCATATTTATACTATAAATGGCAGTTGCATGAATAATAAATTAAAATTCTAATAAATTCTATCCAAAAGTAAGTAGCAAATATTTAATTTCAATATATCATTTTAAAATTTATTAAAAAGAATATATACATATATATATATTAAATACAAATTAATTTGCATAATTACGCAAGATTTCAACGCAAGGTTTGCTAATAACTGATATTAGCAGTATGTGTGATTAAACTGAAAAGAATGCTGATTTGGCATAAAAATAGAGGTTACCTTGAGGTCAGCTTCACGTAACAATTTCAAAGCAGAAGCCTGAAGAATATTTACTTTGGCAAATAGCGGTAAATATTCAGACATATTCAAAATGTGTAGTACTTCTGCCATTGTTTTAGCGCATTTTAATTGTTCTGCGGTTGACATGACCCAAAAACTAAATTTTTTAAAGTAATTTACTACTGCTAATTAATATTGTTTAATTAGCTACAATACATGACATCACTAGTTTAGAATAATTTGTTATACCTTGACCATAACAAACCAAAAAGGTCATAGTACAGTTTCTTGCCCCCAAACTTCCAACATTGTTTTGCTCTCCAAATTATTCCTATTCAATATTATATCATTTCATCTACAATGTAAAAAAAACATTGATATTGTAAGGCGTATTTTAGTTGCTTAATGCAAATGAAATAAATGTAATGATCTTTTTAAGTACTGTATTGAGTAATAATTACAAAATACGATACCCAATATGGAAGTAATTATCCCTTATACTGACAATTTATCAGTAACAGTAATTTACAGTAACTTACTGCTAATTTTCTTATTATTTAAACGATCATATAATGTTGTCAACTCACATGATTAAATTTGCAAAATTCGAACTTTGTTAATTTATATTGTAACCATCTGAACTCATTACTCAAATGTAGATCACATTTTATTTGTCCTCTTGCAAGTCCCATATTTTGTTGATCCTTACTTAATTTTGCCAAATTAACGACCGCTGTTGAGTAAACTAATTGTGCTCTTATATCGTACTCCGTGAGTTGCTCTACAACTGTCGTATATATACATTGTGCAACTGTAATATATACTTACCGTAAAGTTATCAAATTATAAAATAAAACACAAAAATTTTGTTCTATAATTTGATAACTTTAACACAAAATAGTCAACTACACCCAGCTTTTACAGTGAGAATGTGAAGTATAATATAACAAGGTATCCAGGTAAGATTTATTAATTCACAAACACAGTAACTATAATATGAACACTATCAAACCAATTATGATTATCGACGACTGCGTATTGCTTATTGTCGTTGATGAATTTGAAGTTGCATTATTTCAAATTATCAGATGACAATTCTAAAAAATTAGAAAAAGATCGCATAACACGTATCCCGTATGGATCATCAACAGTTCAGAAACCATCTCCGTCTTCAGGGTAGACTTGTTAACTAGCTGTAGTAGTATTGACAAGCTCAGTTAAATTTGCTTTATGTTTCACCAATAATTCACGTATAAAACTGGTTTTTGCTTGTTTTTTTTTTTTTGAATAGTTGAGTAATTGATATTTCTAATACATTGAGCAACAATTCTAAGGAAGCAATTCAATAATCGTAAGCAATCGATCTATCGACCAGAACAGTTGCCATCGATGATTGCGTATTGCTTATTTCCGTTAATGAGTTTTGATTACTTGTCTTTATACTTATGATATTATCATTCTCTCCTCATAAACAGTACGTAATCACTATCATTTCCTTTAAAATCATTTATGCAAATTTGAGCAGAAATGATCACTTATAGCTTAAAATGTAATGTATTGCGCGATATTTATGTCAGCGAATTCAATTGCGTCCCTCATAATATTCCTAGCGTTATCCATGTCAGTTTTAAGAGATAATTGCTACTTTTGTTTGACATGACCTTTTTGTAGTTCTACCCATGTATTAATAAGCAATGTATCCGCAAGGTCACAAATGTAATCATTCTAATGCCTTCACAACTTTAAAACTAATTTACTGAAGGTGTAATTACTAGATGAATCAATAATAACTTTAATGGAAAACTTTCTACGCATTACAATATCAAGTTTGAAAACACACATTTCTCAGGATGCTTACTTCTGAAATCCTGGTATCTCCTGAAGAATCATTAATTCCGACTTCTTGTCTCGTAAATGAAACCTTCTTTCAGAAATGTTTTGTACTTCGCGTTTTAATTCATTGAATTATGCATTCAAGAGTCAAATATTTCAGAATTTTATCAATTTTCAATGCTCAAAAGGTTATTACTGCTAACAATTATTGCATTTTGCGTAAATATGGTATCCTCCATTACGTGTTACAAAGTAAGTCTACCATTTAAAAATTCTACGTTTGTTTACTATGATATTTAAGACATAGATTCTTTAATGCAAAAAAAAAATTAAAAGTCAATAAATACGTGTCATTTAATCAATAGCATTATACTTACTGTACAACCATAACCAGCCATAGAGAAGCGTTTTCGATGGCAGTAAGGAAGAAATCATTTTATTTGTGTGATTTTTTAAGTCAAAACCTGTATTGGTTGAAATATAATTTTAGGGATTCCAGTTGATGCGTGGGCAAGAATTAGGCTCGGAGACGGAAGAATGTGAAGATGAATCAGCCTACTGCTACAATATGACCGCTGAAGCAGCATTTGTAATTAAAATAATGAAAGCTGGTTGCTCTACTTATCGTTGCATGGTAAGTTAATATTATTTCACTTTATTAAAGTCGTCTAAATCTGATAGTCATTATGAATTATTAATAACACATGATAGATTATGCAATATATAATTATAATTTTTCATATTTTACAATAAAAAAACAAATTTATGCAAAAGTAGTATATATCTTTCATTTGTTACTATTTTTCTCTCCCAATATCAACTGTTATTTATATTACTCTGTGTTTACAAATTAAAAGAAAGAGCTAAATTTCAAACAAAGACGGACCAACTAATTCATTAGTGATCTAACTGAAAAAAATAACCCTACTTGACCTTTCACCCGACAAACTAATTACAATATTTTCAGCTTTCAGCGAACACATGCAGAAGTATTACTTTTCAAGGTGTACCTGTTAGTTTCTGTTGTTGCAATGAAAAAGACCTCTGTAATTATTCTAAAGAATAATAAAAAATGGTCTGCTCTATCAACTTCTTATTTTCCACCATGCAAAAGTCTGCACGTGAATAAGCAGCTTCATCAAGTACACGTCCATATGTAACTAAGTTATAAGCTAAAAACACGAAAATAAATTAAATAACATAAAACAGTGCTCGCGAATAAAATTTCTTTCACATCTCAATGTTAGCAATTACACATAATTATAAACTAGAATTTTAATATCTATGTCATATTAGAAGCATATCAGAACTAAATCTTTTTCATGAAATCTGATGTCAATATTGAAGTAACAGTTACCAACTCATTAAAAGAATACTCAGCTCAGAAGACATTTGTATTTAAAGAGACCAACCATTGAAATTCTCAAGGAATTCAAGAAGTAGCTTATACTTTGTCTTACACAACAACGTAAAATTTACGTGATATTTTGTCAAGAGAAGGTAAAAAGACTAGCTAACAATGTTAATACTCTTACTATAAATAATTACAAGCAAAAAAGTACCTGGCATTTTCATGTCTATTCTCCTGTCTTAAGCAGATTTAATAACCTACCCTAAAGATAAAAGACTTGAAACTAGAAGATTCCACATCTACGTTTAAACACGTGAACACTCACCCATCATATTTTACGTAGCATGTTTAGCAGTTTAAAAAAATGTCAATAATTAATGCTGTAACAGAAAATAAATTTTTAAAGTGAATTTTGAGAGTTGGTAGCATGCCAGAGGAAATATTAGACTTCGCAATTGTTGAAATCTTTAAAAGAGAGGTAAGGTTATCAGACAATCTTTTGTGGTTTAACATAAAGGTGAAAGGTTATTCAAAAGTAATCGTCTGGCTAGAGAAGTGAGATTTGTCTCTATTACTGTAGTAATTCTAGTTTATATCATAGTTTTATTTGCAAGTTAGATTTTACCAAATTAAATTTAACGGTTATATTACTTATTTGTCTGTGCAATTCGTCGTCCTTTCCTTGTTATCTGTTTGTTGATTAATTAATTTACAGGTATTACAATGAAGTATTTAGCCGGATATTTATTATGTACGATGGGTGGCAACAAGTCACCTTCTGCAAAAGACATCGAAAGTGTTCTTGGTAAGTCTAATTTCGATGTGTACTGAACTTTTTTGTTTTGTTTTAATACATGGCTTATTTTTTATCACTTTCAAGTATTCTAAGATTCATTCAATGGTTGAAAGCCAGCAGATTGCATGATATCTTTTGTAGTAGTTGATAAATATGAATTAGACGCAACTTTCTACGAATAGGTATTAACAATTTGTTTATCATCCAGGATCAGTTGGACTTGACGTCGAAATGGAAAATGCGAATAAAGTGGTATCTGCTTTATCTGGAAAATCTATTGAGGAGGTAGACTGATTCTTTCATTTGTCTTCATTTTATTTGCATTTATAAAGTTTTCGTCTCGGTGTGATTGCTCCATTTCTTCGCCATTATTTTTGAACTGTCAACATATTAATAATGACCAAATGCACATAATTATTTAATGTCTTATAATTATGGGTCGTCTAATTTAAGTAGTGCATTTTACTTCTTGATGTTACCTTAATATTTGTACATTACCTTATTGTATTAGTTTTGATGGTTATTACGTGCTATTTATTTTGATTTATTTTTTCCCAAAAATTGTGTAGTTTTGTTAATTCTGCATGAGATGTTACCATTTATACGCTGTTATTAATTTAAATAGTTTTACAAACATTGTAAATAATGCCAGACCATTACAGTAGGGCTTAAAAAACTACAGGTAATGAAAGCAGGCCTATTAAAAATAGCATCGGTACCCTCTGGAGGAGGTACAGCACCATCAGCTGGTGCGACTTCAGAAACTACTGTGGCACCTACCGAGTCCAAGAAAGGTTAGTAGATTTAATTTAAATCAGTATTGTAATGAAAATTGTAAATTTTGTTGTTAGGGAAGAATATAAGCAATCATATTTTCAGAAGAGAAGAAAGAAGAGCCAAAAGAAGAATCAGACGAAGACATGGGATTTGGTCTCTTCGATTAGATATTCGCCATGGATGGATGATACTTTGTTATTGCTGTTTGATATAATGTGTTTGCATATGTTCTGCATTATAAATAACTGATGCAGCACGCTTTAGATAACGTTTACATGTGCAGTTTGAATCTGACCAGAGAGCATAGTCTGGGCCTGATTTGGAAGTGAATTAAATCACCTATGAAATGTCTGAAAAGTATATTCAGGTAAGCAAGCGCTAGAATATTTCCTACTCGCCCTAAAGTGCTGCTTTTGCCCGCCAGTTATCAACTATCCTGAGGTGAACACGTAATGTAAAGACTTACGTGGCGTTGTATAATAGAGGTTGTGTAACTGCCATCTCGATGGACATACCACTCTAAGCACACATCCTTTACCGTGCAAACAATAGAGTATAACTTCATGCTTACAATGAATGCTATTTAGTGTGAATTCATTCATCTCTTTCAAAGACGTTACGCAATATTGGTAATAAAGTAAACGGGTAGGTGGAAGTGGACCAGTTACCGTACCTTGCCTTGTTGCTTATGACAAAAAGTAAAAGATGCAATTTGCAAGTATGCTGCGAAAACAGCAGTGGTAAGGCAGATGATGCGACTGATAGATGGATAGATAGATAGATAGATATGAATTGAGAGCGGTACTTGCAAGTTTACAAATGCATGCTCTCGAGTCAGGCAAAAGGCAAGAGAAGTAAAGGGCAGAGAGAGAGAAATACAAAGTTTGCTTCTGCTTACTGCTGTCGCTGTTGTGCAGAAAAATGTGGTGCGTTGCTGCGCTGTGCTGTGTTCACTTTACTAGCTATTGCAGCGTGTTGCAGCGTGAGTTGCATGCGAAGTTGCATTTTTGTAATTAATATATTTATGCAATAGCTTGTTTGTTTGCATGACTGAGTTGGATAGTGATTGCTTTGAGAACGTTGCATTTTAATTCCTGTTTACTACTAGTTTTGGAAGGGTGCCAATTTGTCCTGACTACCCTCCCTTGTTTCCTCTTTCTCTAGCAGTAGTTATGATGATGTTGACAATGCTAATAATGATAATGATGAATGATCAAGATAATGGTAATAATAATGATAGTAATGGTATTAATAATAATTACATTTTGCAATTCAGTTTCACAAGCAAAAAAAGTATTGGTATTGTGTCGTAAGTGTAGTCATCATCATACGATAACATTTTGTGAAGCCCAAGTAGGCAGTAGTGATATTCATTTGAGGACTTGGCAAGTGGCATTTTTTGGTAGTGATGGGTTAAATGTCTGTGTTTGTGTCAGTAGTAATGGCATTAAGGGATTTAGGAATTAATAAGAGCAGCTAAATTTGCTTAGATATATCAGTTGCATTTTTCAGATTCATATTAAAAGAATATTCACACGACCAACTTGGCCGATGAACGCAACCTCTTTGCTATCAATATTTTGGTAGTTGAAGTTGGTGATCAGATTGTGTAAACTCTGCAGACTAAATTTACTTGGTGAGCATAAAAGATAATATTTATTCTGATTTTTTTCCAAACTTCTGTCTTTGCTTGAATCTTATCTTCTTTTCAACTCTAATGCTGCTTAAAGTTTAAATTTACGTAAATCCTTTCCTATTGTTTCTCTTGTATTGCATTTATTTATTAAACACCTTATTGGCTGACAGTGTTAATCCAGTGCATGCTTATTATGCCTAATAAATCGAAATGTTGCTAAATAGAGAATTGGGTAAATAATTAACAGCTTGCTTTTTTCTACACTGTCCAAATTTAATTTGACTCAGTTTCTTTGTCGTGAGTTGGGGATTTATTTTCTGTACATGCTAATAATAAACATATATATTATTTTTTTTTTCACGTATCTTTATTACTTTCGCAATCTAAACATTAATTTTTTTCACTTCCTTGAAAATTTTTATGCGGAATTTGAATATTAATTGTGATTTGCAGTTAGTTGTCAAAATATTGAATACATTAAGTAATTTTATTGCGACGCGTTTGCAAAATTAGCTTTATTGTTTTTGTGTATGCGATCATCACTTTCAAATTGATTTATTGCAATTACTCGAGAGTAGAAATATATATTTGCGATATCTAAAAACTCTGTTGGCAAAACTGGACTTTTGTACTTTCGTGATAGTGTCAATTTAGGCACATTTCATGACCTTTGACCTCCAGGCTATGTGGAGAGGAGAAGAGTATTACATTGCTATATTGATTGATATAAAAAACGGATATACATGTCGTTAAAAGAAAATATTGCAGCAGTGAGTACAGTTGGTCGTTTACCATTTTTTAGAAGTCAGATTAAGTAAATGAAGTGAGTTGGGGTCGATTTTTAGCATTTCTTTACAAGGTTTGTATTGTCAACTTCATACGAAACGCTTCTATGATTCCGCAGTTTTGTCAAAAATTTTGTAGTAGTCACCTCGATTAATTCTGTTTTGCTCTTTAGCTTTTTCTGGATTTCTTTAATAGGTAAATCTGTCATTGTATTAAGATGAACTGCTCGTATTATTTATCTATTGAATTCAGAATATTTCACTGAAAAAGAAGCAAGTTGTAATGAGACGGTTGATGAGGAGTCATACCCATGTACTGTCAAATAACTTTATATTTTATTTGGAGCTATGTATTGGATGTTCGACAATTTTTTTCAGGAATTTTTGTAAAAAATTGTTAATGACAGTACACTTTTTTGATAGTGAATGCTTGCTTTTTCATTCGTAACAGTTTGAGAATTCATAAAATAGTTTTTAGTTCTTATTCAGATATTAACATATTCATGATTCATATTTTAAACAGAAGTGA